CCTTTTAGCTGTCTTCACAAGCCTCGATTTAAAAATTTGTGATGGATGGCGTATTTTACAGTGTGTGCATTATGAACATGTGGGGGGGGGGGACTTGTATCCAAATAACAACGCGGAGATACAGGCTTAATAAATTCATCTTGCATATATATGATCAATATTAAAAGGCAACAGGTCAAAACAAGATTACAACGGTATTGTCTTGACAACTGAAAAACATGGACAAGATTTTTCTTCGAATTTTCTTAGCAGGCCTCTTCACCCAACAAGGGCAGCAGAGCCGGAGAGAGGTGCTACCTCCCTCGACCAGCCATTGTCCCTGGACCAGTATGCTTCAGGCATGCTGTCCCCTCATCAAGAAGATGATGCCGGTCCAGTCATCCCTGTTGACATCCCCCATAAAGTGGGAAACAGCCAGCCTCTGGAAACTCCGACCGAGGTTTCAAGGGATGATTCCCCAGGAGAGACTAATGCAACACAACTCACGACCTCTCCACATGTGTTGTCATTAGCTTCTAAAGAGGACGATGATACATACGATGCTGATGATGAAGGAGCAAGGGAGGAGGATACATCCTCATCAGCTCAAAGTCTTAGAGATCAACTTTCAAACCAGAAGGTATTTTTTTTGTTCATTTAAAAGCTACATGTATTTTTGGTCATATAAATAAGGAAAACTTCCACCATCGTTGCCCGAGAGTTTCGACTTTGGGAAATGGTATTTGTTTTATTCTTTAGAAATATACAGGCAATTTTCGCTCTGCTGTTGATGTACATTGTACAACTTCGAAGCATAACTGTGTATTTGTATTATCTTTTCAGGAGAGTATCAAACAACATGTGACTGAGGTCACGCGGAGAGTTGAAGCCATGAATGCACAGGATAACAGGTACGGTGGATTTTCAAAGATCATCTTGCAAAGAAACTGAACTATCAAAATAGAGTGTGGAAAAAAGACAGCCCAGGGTAAGCTGTATGATTGTGAGTTTGATGTGTGCGTTTAATAATGTTTCAGTGCGGAGACTGGCCCCGAGTTCCAGTGGGTCAAGGCCCTGAGAATGACTGAGGAGATGCAACTTGCCAAGGCTCCACAGCCAGCGTCTAACCAAATGTCTGATCAACAATCACCGCAACTAAGGGCGGATTCCTCTTCTTCAGACTCTCCAACGAGTTCATCATCAGAAGAGGATGAGGCAACCGCTACAAAACCAGGACCGGGATCCAAAGATCTTCATGGATCACAAGATCCTCAGGTCAGAGTGGAATTGTCTAAATTTGTTCAATGATGCAACAGTCCATGTCGAATTAGAAACAAAGTCTTTTGAAACGTTTTGAATGCAAGTGCATCCTATTTGGTGCAATACTAAACCCTTCCATTAACTGTGTCTAATCTTACAGGACAGTGCTAAACAGAAGGAGACTGTTCGTGAGGTCATGCAGAAAGTTGAAGCCATGATGGCAAACAGGTAGGATATATACATGTACATAGACAATTTAATTCTCAAAATAAGTTGTGATAATAAAGTTTGAGCAACCGTATGAGGTTGAAATGTACACTTTATTATGTTTCAGTGAAGCAAGTGGTTCTGAACCCCAGTGGGTCCAGGCGCTTAAGATGGCCGAGGCTCAACAGACAGCATCCAACCATCAGTCAGTGTCACAGACCTCTCCGGTGCATTCCGAAGACTCTTTCAGTGACTCTTCTACTAGTTCGTCATCTGAGGAAGAGCCTGAGGATATCACTGTTGGACAAAGATGTGGATCACAAGATCATACGGTAATAAGCTTCATTGTTTTGTCTCAATCTTTGAAGTTCAACATTGGTTGATGGCCATCTCTCTCACTTTCTTGGATGACTGAATTATAGTCCAAACCCTTATACAATTTTTAACTCTAAACTTTATTACATATTTGATATTTCAGGAAAGTGCACAACAGAAGAAGACTGTCGGTGAGGTCATGCAGAAAGTTGCAGCCATGATGGCACAGGATAACAGGTAGAGTAAACAATAGTAGACTAATTATCTTTGGAAGAAACTAACTTTAAAGTTTTCTGTGCTATTTAGACAGATTAATTCCCTCATGAATTCTCGTCTCTTATACAGTGGCAAGAATGGACCTGAGCCAATGTGGATGATGGCACTAAAGCAAGCAGAGCAGATGATACCAGCACCTCAGCCGCTGCCTCGCCAACAATTTCCACCTCCCATTAACCAACCTACAGGAGCAACTATGCTCCCCAGACAGGCCTATGCCAGCCAATTACCACCACAGGATGGACAGGGTGCTGCTCCCCTAGCTCCAGGATTACAACCAATAGGACATGAGGTACTAATCAAGATCTGTTTGCTTGTGTTTACAGTTTAACCGCACTAAAGCTTAGATCTGTCCATCCTCCAATATAGAAGTAATGATTGAACTCTTCACCATTCACTCAGTTGTTGGTAGCCTTAATGTTACCCTCTGTCTGGCTAATTGTTTGTGCTGTCCCCTGTCATAAATTGTCCATGACTTGTGTCAGTAATCTGTGGTTCTTTCTTTTCAGAGGAATGTTCACGTCATTGGGGGCAGAGATCAGATTGTTCGACCAGTCAAGAACACATTTAATGCCCTTTTGACACCAGGCATCAGGTACGTTATAGCTATCAATATTAAATTAGAAATTATTTATAGATCAGACATTCATCAAACACCCAATATGCGTTAATCACCTTTGTTTGATGATTTGTTTTAACTTTTCTTTCGTTATTAGTGACTCATTTTTCCATTTTTCCTGACAGTGGAGCCACTATTCCGTATGCGTGGCAACCTCCTTGGTTCGGGGCACCGGGGCCTGCCCAGCATGCTTGCTGTGGACTGCAACACACTCACACCCACAGCGTAATCACCAGCATGCAGTCCTTCCACCTACTCCTCCACCAACAGTCAGGGCAAAAAGGTATCTAAAAAAAACATTCCGAACTTGTGATTCCTGATGAAATGAAAACTAGAGAATATGTATGCCATAAGGACCTATTGCCGATTGCACAAATTTAATAGTAGGATTTAACATTCATATCGATTTTCCTGTAAATTGGAGTCCAGTAAGGAAATTCACAATCTATGTTTCTTTGCACTTTTTCAGGAGACACATGCACCTTCCGCTAAGTCCAAACGACACAGATGCCCGGAAACGACTAAAGCAGGTGTCACCTATATCGACAGTTCCAACAAAAGGAGCCTGCGCCCCATCCACCCCTTCTCCTTTACCTGCCGAATCCTCCTTCATCCCCGTACTCATGGAGACTGAGATTGAGGACGTGCTGACTCAGGGAGCACCCACTTGTCTTGGGAGTGGAGCATACGGGCAGGTCCTACTTAAAAGGAGGAAAACGGGAGGAGAGCTGATGGCCTTAAAGTGCCTCATAGATGTGCAGGATCATGCACAAGCCTACCAGGACATGGTTGCAGAGGTGAGGGTAATGATGGCCATGAAACACCGCCCTGAATTCCCGAAGGTTGTTGGAATAGTTAATCAGACCACATTTGCTGTAGAGTTTGTGGGTGATCCGGTCACCCTCAATTCCAGTCACCTCCATGGCATCGTGAACAACCCCCCTTCCAACATGACAACACTGGCATGGATCCAAATATGCCTTGATATATCAACAGGACTCCACGCTTTGCATAAAGCAGGCTGGTCACATGGTGATCTCCACACTCGCAACATCATGGTGTGGCAAGACCCAAACATCAACTCTGCGGAGAACTGGGGCGCCAAAATCATAGACCTGGGACTGGCTGGAAGGATCGACGACCCACCTCCTCCCTACCAGTTCAGCGACAACGAGAAGGCAAATTGTTACAGGTTCAGCTTGCATTTAGCTCCAGAGATTGTAGAGGGCACCTGTCAGCCAGGAATTACTTCGGACGTCTACAGTTTGGGACACATCTTCAGCGTCGTCTCCTTCAATAAACCAAAGCTGAAAGTAATCAAGTCAATTTATCGTGATTGTTGTGGGGCACCCAAGGATCGGCCCATGCTACAGTCTGTTATTCAAGACTTGGAAGGATTCCAAAGTGATGTGGTAAAGGAGCTTAAGGCTGTCGAGAAGATCAGAAGCAGATTGAACAACTTGTCAAAGTTAGCTAAATCAAGGAAAGTGTGTACCTGACCTTTTCAATCGAACCACCAGTGTATTGTGAAATTTAGACAATATGAAGATGAGTGTTAGCAACAGTTTCAATTTACCAACTCATTGGCATGCTCGACAGTCCTTTTAGGATACAGATTAAAATTCAAGGGAGGCCACGATTCATGTGGCACCTATCAACTGGTCAAGTGTCCCAAATATAATACATTTTGAATTTGGGCCATATAGGTCAAGGGTCAAGGTTACACAACATAAACCCATGGATGTTGGCCAAGGATGTAACCTGAGCAGTTTCAAGATTTCTCCAGTTGCCAGCATCCTATAAAATTAGGGCCAGATGGGTTCAAAGTAAAGGTCACAAAAGCTAAGAATTAGAAATATTGTCCGCAAGATAACTTGCTAAATTCTTTATGTAGCAAGGTGAAATTTGAGGAGCATAAGAACATTTTGGGCAGACTGAACAGTAAACAACATTTTCACAAAAGCTCAGCAATATGTTTTTGTTCTTACCGTCCCAAAGAAATTAAAAAAGTTTGGGGCAGAAAGTTTAAAGTCCATTATGGTCACAGGTGCTAAACAATTAGAAATGTTGCCACCATTACGACTGCAAATATATACTATTCAGAACACGTGTTTTTCTTGCATGCATGTATTCCAAATGGCCTCATGGATTTACTTGAAGAAAAGTTTCAATACTGGGTCTTACCCTTCACCGAAAGAATGGTTTCAGTCATATGCTTGTATATTATGCAAATAAAACACGAGATATGTCTTAGGATGAGTAGGAACTTTGTTTTTATTGATATATTGCATTATTTTAAGCTCTACTATTTTATCTTAATAAATGAATGAAAACAAGGTTTACCTTTCTTTGACATTGTCTTTTATTTTAAAAACTTTATCAAGTCCATTTTTATAATATAGCATTGTTTCAAACATTCACTTGTTTGGATATAGTTTCATGAAACCTCAGTGAAACGTAATTCATATACATGTATTGGATTTTACAATTGAGTGCAAAATGAAAAACATAATTAAGAAATAAAGGAATTTTTTATGCTGGTGGGAGTTTATAAATACAGTATTTCATCGAAAAGATCAATATTTTCAGTGTAAATTTGGTGTGAATTATATTGTTTGATTTACAGACAATAAATAACAAGAATATTAACAAAAAAAAGAAACCTATGTTCTGGCTGATTCTGGTAATTTTAGCATGGTCTCAAAAATGTGTTGTACCCTGACATAAAACCAAAACAAGACCGACTACTGCAACTGACAGAATATTGTGACACTTTGAAGAACTTCTATTTGTAGGATTCTCATCAACCAGGATAAAATAATGCCACGATTTGTTACTGGCTTCCTTGTAGATTTTTAAAGATACTTCAAACGTTTGAAAATAGATACAAATCAACGGCACACACAAGTTTGATATATTATTTTGAATATATAGACTCAGCCTATTTACAAATAAACAAACATGTAGAATATTTTGTGCACACAGGAAGCATTGAGAAAATGGAAAATTAAAATTAACAATGTAGGTACGTTTTGGCCATTTATCAAATTTCATGCATATGAAATCATTTTTTGTGATTTATTTTGGTCGAGTACAAGGTAATCAAAATTATTTTTGTTAGAGGGGGCAGGATCCCCGCCAAGAGCAAGTCATATATAACATAGAAGCTTTAATGAGCGCAAAATTATTTTTTCAGTTTAAAATTACAGACATCATATATGATATTATATGTATGTTCAACTTCTGGTGTTGGATTGGAATAAGACACTATTTGAGCTTGTACAAAAACAGGAGATGACAAAAGAAATTATGACTTATTTGATTCTCCATTTGAAGTGGTTCATAGCATTGCACTATGAAACATGATGACATCAGATTTAAGCACACGTCTCTCACTGTCAAACATACGTACTGGATAAAATATATACAAGTTACCAGGCTACATGTATATCTCAAAGAACTGCCTTTAAGCAAGAAATACTTCACGGTAAGCAGTTAATTGGCGAAGAAACAGTTTGTGTTGCCGGTTTCCCTGCATTTGTCTGCATGTAACCTGCCCCCAAAATCACACTGGGTAAACATAATGTAAAACAGAATCGTGTCAAAGCGTAGGGTCTATGCTTAACTCTGTGTTACATTTTGTGTACACCGTATCTGAATGTAAACATGAAAGTGCATTCTTTAAAACACTGCTGCATTGCTTGTGTAGCATATAAAAATTAATGTTATCCCCATCTCCTAAACTAATGCTAATTGTGTTGGACGGTCCATAACTGGACTTTTTGTATTTACCACTTACCAGAAGGGGCTTGACACATGGGTATAGTTTGAACCAAAATTTATGACACAGCTAAATCCATATACATACATGCAATATAGACCGGCCAACAGACCTACGACATAATGACATCGCGCTTTGTTTACATGTGCGCTTCATATTGGGAGCCAGGTGGGGAGGATTGGCTGGCGTCCCCACCTGGCTCCCATAGGAAAGCACACATGTAAACAAAGCACGACGTCTATTAGGTCTTTTATTAGGACCCTACTATTGCGCACGTGGACAACACCACTTGCATCTCTCTAGTGCAATACTGCATGTTCTAACAGCATGCATCATTATGCATGTCAGACATTTTTTGCACGCATGTCAGGCATTAAATCATGGCTGTAAATGGTCGAAACTCCATTGGCTGGGGCAAAACAGATTAATCTGTTAACTGCAATTACAAAGGATCTGGCACTGTCTCCATGACAACCTCCATGTGTCAATACCATATCATCATGACTTTCTGTGACACTATGGCAAATAATTATGTTATCAGCCATCTGATGATACTTTTTGTTCTGAGCAAATGTGACTTTTCATGCGAGTTTTTCATCATGGTGATGTAAATTTTGAAACAAGGTTAAGCTTTTCCTTGAACCTCAACAAGCTCATGAGTGGTCAAGATGTCTGCACTAGTAAGCAGGATGTCATGAGCTTGGGTCCCGTATGAGTAAGTAAACCTGCGTTTTTCAACAAGCTTTGGAACAAATAAAAGTTTCTAAAAGATGACACCTTGACTAATATTTTATATTCTAAATCAAATGAATACTTTTACAACCCCTCAATGGGTACTGCATAAAGCACTGATATGGTTTGACTTGAAATATATACGAAATAAAACAGGACAAACAAGAAGCATAAACGAATAAAGTAACAAAACCCTGACCTCTCTTCAATCCAAACTAAAAGGAAAGATACTTCTCTACAGACACACACGCACACTATTGGAAAGAAATGACGTAAATATATTTGTTCAATATACACAAGTTAATAAATTTACATCAATATTTAACAGCCTGAATGGAAGACTTGAAATCAATATGTAAACAGCGGTATTCAGCTATCAACTAAATTTTAATAATCAAGTTTTTGCATTAAAAGCGTAACTGATGCACAACTTTGTATTTGTATGTAGTGTAATGTTCGGATATATAAATGAATCAACAAGATTCACAAACTGACGTTCAAGATAGTAACATTTTAAAGCATGCGTATTAGTATTTTCATGTTTTTGTCAATTTGCATTTCTGTGATTTTCAAACTTGTTTCTGATGCAACACGATAAACACGACCCTGTAAAAGTGGGAAAAAATGTTAATCAAAGGTCAAATGACTGATACAAAAGAATTGTCTTTGATTTTAAAATTGAAAAACTGGCCTGGCACCAGTATGATAAAATATTTTTTATAGTGAATTCCAATATTATTTTTTGAATTATAATAATTATTTTGCATTTTCTTTGATAAAGAAAAAAATTAACATAAACGTGCTTGGAATGTAAAGGTCTTGACAACCATTAATGGACGAGGGACATATTTACATGTAAATATTTACAATTCATGAATATTTACACTCTTGAGGAATATTCAAATAAGGAATGACTGTACATATTACTAATGCCTGCCCAATTCTCAAATCAATGACAACTGATTCATTGTTGACAGTCAGTCATGTCAGTAAGCAAACCGAGGGCCAATTTTACAGAGCTATACTTAGCACAAAACTGAGCTAAGCAGGAAAACTGTACTTAGTGAAATGGCAAACAGTCAAAACTGACAGTACAGTTTGCCAACCAGAGCACTTGCTTCCTACCACATATCTGCTAACTGGGTAAGGTGACCACATTTGCTTCGCAAAACTGTGAAATTGACTCAAGTTGAACCTTAACAACTGAATCAAAAACACTGAACGACAAGTTTCAAAAGAGGCCAGTATTTTACCGTAATAAACACCTTGATAAAAAAATTCACATGTACAAATGAACATTATTCACAGAAGGTTGCCAACTTATAGAATATATTGGCATGAGATAAACTTTTAAAAGGATGGTTAAGGATATATCCTTTATCATTCTCATGCCTCTGCATTCCAAGGTAATATATACCCAAGAACAAAACCATAAAACTGAGAAAGCAATAAATAAATATAGCAGTTCATTTATATACACAAAATCTGCAGCACCGTCTTAAATACTGAAATAAAAGAGAAACACTTACGATAGAATTTCTGTTTATTCAGTTTATGCAAAATTATTCAACCCATGATTCATACTGATGAATTTCATAAACATTTCATATTAGGAATGAGGACCATAGATTCGGAAAAAATATGGATTGGAATAGAAAATGGTCCAAATTGGCCTGATGTGTATTGTGTGCTGCAACATTTAATTGGCAACTCTTCTATGCAGTATCGTGCTACAATTTTTAGCTTTGGAATGAACTCGAAGTTTCCTGAAAATGTTGCTAGGGAACCTGTTACCGATTCAACATTTGATAGCCAAGTAAGTGGACAAATTTAACAAAATAAAAGGAAAAGAAAGCAAATTTGAAAAGACCCTTATTTCCATGAGACATGTTACACCAATTAGTTGTACCTGATCTATCTGCAATCAACAAGCATTTACTAGTGAGCAGTTCACATGCAAAAACCTTCGGCACTAACTTTTTAGTTTTTTTTCCCTTACATCAATATATTTCCTTTACAATTCCCTTGATGCTTTCAGTGTTATTTCCGAACAGAAAACCACAGTTTCCAATTGTAGATTTGATGCAGGATACAGGCCATGATATGCAAGACACAATGCCAGAACTTCTTTAGGAAAGATATTCCAGTGGCAGACTGGCAGCTGCCTACAAATCCTTGCTTGTGTTTCAGTTTCTGGTCAACAACTACTCGAGACAGACTCTTTTTCCCATTCTTGTTGGTTTGTGTTGTCTTCATATTGAACAGCAACTCAAACAACTGCATATATCCCAATTTCCTGATGGCAGCAGGCTTCAGTTCTGTTAGGAAAATGTTGGCGGCCGTTGAAGCAGCAGTTTCTGCAAAGTTACATGGGTTTCTTCACCCATGTTTCTGGCAAGCCTGCCTTCCCAACATCCTTGTACAGCTTTCATTTTCGTATTGTAATTGATGTACTCCTTAGTAACGATTAGTGCACGGCCATGGCAAATTTTCAAGATGGATTGCGCAGCAGCCCTTCAACATCATTTTTCTGCACTAAGGTTATGTTTGTTTGTCACCTCCTAAACAGCTTCCTCAACACAGCCTCCTCCTTTGACAGCAAACCACTTGTTACTTTTGCTCTCATGATAGCAACCACTTCTCAATGGTTTAGTTATTTTGGTGGCAGAGGTGGGATCAGTTTCTCCTATATCAGTGGCAGAAGTAGGATCAGTTTCTCCAACATCGGTGGCAGAAGAAGGATCAGTTTCCTCAACATCGGTGGCTGACATCTGATCAGTTTCTTCAACATCAATGGCAGCCATGGGACCAGTTTTCCAATGCCAATGGCAGGAAGATTCTCCAACATCAGTGTCAGAAGTGGGATCAGTTTCTCCAACATCAGTGGCAGAAGTGGGATCAGTTTCTCCAACATCAAGCAGCAGAACTCAACCCCTTCATTTATGCTTCTGCTTGCTGTCACCTCCGAGTTTCTTGAACAGAGCTTTCCCCTTTGACAGGAGACCTTTTTTCTTCTTGATATGTTCTGGTGTTCCCATGCTGTCCCCAGATTGGTCTGCAACATCGGAGTTTGACCTCACCTCCCGACCTTTGCCTGGGGCCTCTCCGTTCTCCTGATGTCGTGTCTGCTGGAGCTGGCAATGAGCAACAAAGAATACAAGTTAAAATCACTCATCTTGGCAATAAATAAAACTTGAGGAGCTTTGCAAAAGGGGTATGCAAAATGTTATCAAACACATCGCTGTGGTACTTGTTGCTATCTCAATGCATGAACAGTGGATGACGCCGCATCACACCTTACAAGAGCTTCAGTTGGAGGAATGCACTGCATGCATACACTAAGTACAAACCAGTAGCATCTCTGGCAGGTACCACCAACATTCTCTTTATAAGCTTTTAGGGAATACTTGTGCAAAAAAGTCCATATAAGATTTAAGTTAATTCATCTACACTTGTAAGCAGGAGCTAGGTGGTGGGTTCAGGTCTAAACAGTTCGAGTATTAGCTTGATAATTTTTCCTTGCCAGCTCTTCAACAGCACTCAGTATACAGTCCTTGTGAAAATAACAACATTAAAAGTCCAAAGTCCAACATTAAAAGAAAGGTACTAAAAGTTTTTTTTGGAGGGGGGAGGGAAGTAAATGAAACATTTGGTTATGCATTAATGGCAGAAACAACACAACTTAAGAGGATTCCCACTCCTGTTAGTGCTGCAAAGTTAGCGAGAAACAAACACTGCATTAGTAGGCATTCATAAAGACTTTTGTAAGCAAGTTGGGTGAAAAGATGAAATCAGGGCCATGGTCATTGCCCATGGATGCCACTTAACACATAGATGTTAAGCACTCCAACTTCAATAAAAAAAACACACAAAAACCCAAATCTGCACCTCTTCAATTAAGAAAATAACATCCTGTAAGCAAAGTTAGTAACAAGTACATAAATAGCCACTTCTGCAAGCAAATAAGCTCCGTCCAGCAATTTCTCCAGCCACTGCACACAAATCAGTGCAGACATCAAAGTGGTGTTTTATAAGCTACACTGCTAAGCAGAAATGCTCGGTGTAGTAACCGCATCACCCACCGCTGAAGCCAAGCTTAGCATACAGGACAGGGTTAGCAGTGTTAAGGCCTTCCTTACCCATTGCTTCTTGTTGACTAGTATATGAAGATGGTGATGTGTTGATGATGACAATGCAAGCATAATGAAGGCAACGAAAAAAAATTGCAAAATAAAGAACCAAAATAGCAGATGGGTCTAAACATGCATGGACAGCTACCAGGGATTGATGAAATGAACGAAGTAACATCAAATTGAAGTGATGGACTGGAGGCCAAAAAACTGGGGTCCAGATAAAATGCGGCCCAGGTACTGCCCAGACACTGGGGCCCGGAAACAGGGTCCTGGATACTCGGTCCCAGATACTGAGTCCCAATATCTGAGCCCCAGTGGGCCCAGATACTAGGTCCCCAATTCTAGGGCCAAGCCGCATTGAATCCAGAAACTGGGGCCCAGATACTGTTTACCAGATACTGGGGCATAGATACCGGGGTCCAGAAACTGGAGCCCATGGCCAGATACCGTGGCCCAGATACTGGGGCCCAGACACTGAGGCCTAGATACTAGGGCCCAGATGCTGGGCACTAGATTTTGGGGCCCAAATACTTCGGCCCAGATAGTTTTCCCAAACTTTACAGATATTTTTCCCACTGGGGTTTTAGAAAGTGAAAGATTAAGAAATTTGAAGGAAAGTATGAGAAACAAGAGTACTCCAAGAGTACCTAGACAGAATCTTCAGAAAATTGTTACTTCATCAAACGTTAAGAAAAATATTCTTTAACATGGAAAACAACTAACTTGGTAAACAACAGTGAATTTTATCAGTGACTGTTGTGCTTATATCAGTGAAAAAAGGAGGGTGCTTTAATTTTAAATAAAGCAAATGAATTGCTTGTGTAAATGAATGACTTTTCTTCTCTGCTCTGAATTAAAGCTGGGGTTCATTCCCACTTCTAAAACTTAACATTTCCTTTTCATTTTAAAGCTGGGGCTGAGGGAGGCCCAATCAAATGTACCAGCGTAACCTGGAATTATACAAAAATCCGAATAGACAGATAGAAATTAATGCAATTATAATACAAAGAAGAAATTAACATGGAAGAAAATGAGCTAATACAAACAGATGAAAAAGGGAAAATCTAAAGCAACTCTCCTAACAGTTGTTCACATCGGATTCATATATTTACATGTACAACCACGTGATACAAGTGGCGTCACTCCTAAAAGACACAGAGTAGTTGATTGTATTTTGTCTTTATTCTCACCTGTGTCTGCCTGTCATCTGATCTCACTGAGGAGTAGCTCCCCCTGCTGCCCCGGCTGCCCCTGCTCTCCCGGCTAGGGGAGGGGCTGTATGCCTGGTGGGAAGGGCTATAAGGCTGGTGGCTCGGCGGGGTGTAAGGCTGGGGGCTTGGGGCCGACTCGGGACGTGGTGAGTCTACGATCACTTCCAGGAAATTGGACGGCACTAGACCCCGCTGGCCATGGAGTTCACCCTGAATTTGATGGAATGAAACATGGAAATAAAAAGCTGCTGCATGGACCAGAACCTGACAATTTCGCCGGTTCAGTGCTTAAAGGTCCTTACAGAAGCCCAATGATTTCTGGCGGACACTCTATAGGGTCAGATCTTGAGCTTGAAAAAGTAAATTATTTCAGACTAAACAACTTCCAGACTAATTAAAATCTTAAACAAAATTGTATTTCACTTCCAATGATGAACATACTTTTAAGAATCATAAAACTGAAATAAACAGGTAATGAAAAAAATTAAGCATAAATTTAACACTCACCACAAAGAAACCATCATTGTCCATCTCCCCAAATACGATGATGACTTCCCCTTGATGGAAGGACAGCTCCGCCTCAGCATCCGGGTTAGGGGACAACTCCTGTGGGTTGTAGTCAAACAGCGCCCTCATCTTGGTGGCGCGGGCATCTGGCGGAACGTGCAGGCTGTTCATGGGACTGCTGAAGATTTGAACTGGATGAGAAATGGGAGAAGAAAGAGAAAGATCAGTAACATCAAATTAACAACCTTTGTATGCAAATTCGATTGTGGATCCCCCTTCCAAAAACATGTTTTATCTTACAGCTGGGGGATTCATTCCCAAACAACAACCGATAGTTTTTCTAAATTTGTACATATGCAAAGTTTAGGCACAATTTGAAAACCTTTTATAACTTTTAATTGGATAAACCTGTTTGTAATTTTGGCATTTTGCATGAACGCTATGTCCGACGATTAAAAATGAAATCGATGTAGTGTTCGCATAAAATGTCAAACATCAAATATCAAAATGTTACGAGACATCAAATGTCAAAATGATTAAGAGACATCAATCTGCAAACTCATTAAGGAATTCATTAATGAAAAAAGAATTGCACTGTGATGATATCGGCAAGACATACGGTCGGGCTTGGATTATACTCCACAGCCCTTTAAGGGTTAACCCTTACCTCCCCAACTCCATCAAAATCCATCCCCCCATTTTGGTAGATTTTGGGGGACTTCCTGCAGGCCTGGTTTGACTAAATATTGATGCAGTATGATGGCCTGGAGGCCTAAAACATAGCATGCATTGGAAGCAGTGTGATTGATGGATTTAGTGGACTTGGTCCAGTACCTAGTAAAAGACCTTAGGGAGTGAGGGTTAATGAACAACTTCGAATGGGTAGCACCGGTGCACTTGTTTTACCTGGACTGCTTGTGGTAGTGTTCAGGCTGCTTGAGTACCCAACCCTGTCTGGTGATTCAGCAGACGTGGCCGTGCTGGCCCTCTTGGGTGGGTTCAGGGGAGTCTGTTCAGGTCCCTCCACTTCCTCTACCATGTTGTATGGGACGAAGCCTCGATGGCCGTTCAGCTCACCCATGTAGAAGCCATCGGCGTCTTTATCACCAAACACCTGTGCCACAATAAGACCATTTTTATTCGACTGTAAGCTATGTGACACAAGGCAACCAAACACAGTGCAAGCTCAAGGAATCCCAGGGAAGTACTGTTTTTGCAACAGTTTACAGAAATTCCTACTAACATTACAGGGAAACAAATTTTCCTATTGTTTTTCTTTTTTGGTGATTTGCTTGGAAAATTTTCCTCTAAAGTGCCTCAAAAAAGAAAACGTTGTTAATGGCCACTCCAAAAAAGGTTGAACCCACACATTTCTTGAGTGGCCTCAAGTCAGTTTCTATATAAAAACCAAGCGGCAAATAGAAAATATGTTAACAAAGACAATCTAAAATCATAAAAATGAATGTGAATAAACAAACTGGAAAAAGCACATATTTAAGACATCAACCAACATGACTTCCAGCAATATTTAAACTGCAACGACACAGAGGCAAAAAACAGAACCACTTCCCAAAGCTTTGACAATCAGCTTGAATTTTATTTGAAAGAATTACTTTACCAGAAAATAAATCTGTTACTGCATCCAACCTACCTTGATTATGTCCCCCTCTTTGAACGTCAGCTCCTCCTCCACAGACTCAACATTAGGGGACATGGCCGTCGGGTCGTAATCGTACAACGCCACGAAAAATCGTATCACACTGTCGTCAAACAGTTCCTCAGGTCCCTCGCTCACTGAGTATTCCTCCTCATCCTCAAATGTTCCCGTCTCATCTGTCCGTGAGTCAACGGACAACTTTCGTTGTCTGTCGTTGTTGGACTTGGCATCATAGTCTTTATAGTTCGTGGGCTTCTGTAAGTCCTCTCCGAGGCTGTTCTTGCGCGGGGAGGCGGGGCGGGCTTGCTCAATAGCTCGTGGGCGGGATTTGGGTTCCGGAGTTGGCAATGGTTGCTGGGGGGTGGACGGCTGACCGGTGGGTTCAGAGCGTTTTTCCGAGGCGGCTGCTTTGCGGGCTTCCTCCTGGGTAATTTCTGTCCAAAATAATAGTTTTTAAATGGGTATTAAAAAGAGCTGAGATTGAATGTTGAAATACTATCATCAGGTTTTGTGTAATTTGGGCTACATACTACATTGTAGTTAGCACCGTCAATATCAGAATTTTCAATAATCGATATATTGGATATCCAATATTGAGAATATTCGATACATCAATGTTTATATTTTGAGTTTTATTTAATTATACAGCAAATGTTAAACACAAAGTAAAAGCACAAACTGGAGATACATTTTGACGATAATTTGACGCATTATTGATACTTTCGATATTATTTCTCAATATCAAAAATTGATATTTTGATACAATTAAAAATTGCTATGGGCGATATAGATATCAAAATAATATCGAATAATGAAGTGATATTGATATATCAATAAGGGAATAAATGTGTGCTCCGGAGGTTTTAATCACTCGTTTAATACCGCTTAGAGTCTGGGTGCTGATAATTACCCGAGCCGGAGGCGAGGGTAATACCGACCGAGCATAAATACCGACCGAGCACATATTTATTCCCATTCATAAATACCTTATCCGTAAAAAAATATCAAATAATTCGTTCAAAAAATCCCGATTTTGTTCAAAAAGTTCACTTCATGCTTTTTGAAACATCCCTCTAGCAAAATAATGGAGTGTTCAGCTGGCGAGTAAGATGTAAACAACCCTTTTATGGAGATTGACGCGCGCGTAACATGTTCTGCGCGATGTCACGCAGAACGCACCTGGGGCGTTGCGTTTTGAATTTAGAACTATAAAATTCTGACTCGCTTGTAGTGTTGCGCATGCCTACGTGAGGATTGTGAACGTTCAACCAATGAAACGGTAAGAGGCACTTGATTTTTAGGAGTCCACATTTTATTGTGACACTGGAAAAGTGTTTAAGACCAGCTAGCCATGTCTTTATCATCCGTTTAAGACCGGCCACGTGACGGGCTCTCGACCAATAGGAATAGCTAAACTGTCTGAGGTATTTATGAATGGTGCTTACATACTAGGTCATCAGATGGGCTGTAACCAAATAAGCGCTTGTGGCCTTGAAAAAAGTGGGAGTTAGGTTGGCGTGGTGGTACCAGATTTGCAATCAAGTCAGTCACTAGTCACCCTTTCTTGAGTCAAGTGACAAGCTATTCAAATGAACTGCGACAAAGACATTCCCTTATCATCGACATCGCCTGTTACTTGTGATTGACCTGATTACAACTCTTTGAGTGGTACTACTCTTCCTTATCCTCCACCTCTGTGACCTTGGTAAGAAACACACAAGCTGACCCTGAGACTAACTTTGAAGTCGTTACTTGATTCTTTGGGTTTCCCAATACATGGATCAGGGTTCAGTTTGATGGAGCTGCTTAATTGACGGTAACTGAAGTTGTGCTAACTTTAGCAGAAAACTGTGCTAACCTTAAGCACTATTTTGCAGCGTGGGTGTGCTTCAAGGGAACTTTCTATTCTGTCACTAATTTAAGGAAACTTGCCTCTGATGTCGGCATGTCTTTTGAAGACAATTGTGTGCTAAATAGCAACATGGAAGTGATTCAGGGGGTTTAATTCCATTTCTAAGCTGAACGTTTCTTTATTGCCTTCTCTACACAGATTCATCAGGCTTGTTAGCTACATTGCCAAGGCACTCTCGAGGCACTATGGCTATATTGTCACCTGGCTCGGGGAATCAGGTTGGTAAGGGTACCTTCCTCGCCTTCCACCGCTATGACCTGGGTTTGAATCCCGCCCGGGCCAACATGTGGATTGGGTTTTCAGTCTCTGCCTGATTCCATGGGATATTCTTCTGGGGTTTTCGTCCCACCTCTAAAAACTGTAAGTTCTTCTTGTTGTCTCCTCTCTACAGGTTTTTTCAGGCTTGCGAGCTACAGTGCCTAGGGTGCTTTTGAGAAATCCTTGGTTCCATTACCAGAAATTAATAATAATAATTTTTAAAAAAATATAAAAAAATACATATATAAGGCAAAAAAAAAAAATATTCGGTCTCTGGTCAGACCAAAGTTCCGGAACGTGGGGACGCGGCTTTTTTTTTTTTTTTTTTTTTTTTTCTTCAAGCTTGGATTGTACAGACAAGGTGGGGATACTATTTTGCTTTTTTGGTGTCCTCATGTACATTGGTGTCCTCCATAATTTGCCTTGGTGCTCTCGATCATTTGCCTTGGTGCAATTTCCCATTCCTTGGTGCTCTTTGGTAAAAAAAATTGAGCAGGTGCGGCAATAGAGGGCACTGTTGGAGCTACCGCGGAACATTTTGGGGAAAAAAAAGATTGACGCGCATGATTAAAATCGACGCGCGCGCTGACCAGAGACCGACTTATTTTTTTTTTTGGCCTAACATAGTGACATGCTACGATGATAAGCTAGCAAATACTGCCCATCCTAACTAGACTTGGCTAAGTCCCCTCACCGATGTGCGGCACAGCCTGTCCTGGCTGGCTAGACTGTTTGATGGGCACAGGCTCCAGGACCTGGTTGTGTGGGGACTGCTCCGTCTCTCTCTCAAAGTCACACTGCTGACGGATGACCTGGATTGGGCGGCACTTGTCTGATCGGTTCAGGCTCTCCAGCTCTGGGTCTGTGTCTAGCTCCATGTCAGGCTTGGCGTTGTACTGTGAAATAAGGGCATTTATGGACATAATAAAATCTAAGTCACAATGTCTCAAACAGTGTCCTATTCAAAACTTTAAATAACTAAATTTTGTTAACAAATAAGAAATCATGAGCACAAAATGCCTTAAGAACTATTTTAGAACATCTCCATCAAGGTTGTACTGTGAAATAAGGACATATGTAGACATAATAAAATCTTAAGTCACAATGTCTCAAACAGTGTCCTATTCAAAATTAAAAAAAATTAAATTCTGATTAACACATAAGAAATCATGAGCACAAAATGCCTAAAGAACTATTTTGTAACATCCCCATCAAGGGTTAAGTTGATCATGTGCATTTTTTGTACAAAGGATACTACGCAAGTTTCCGAGGTTGGCAAATTTGGAGAAGGATCAGTATAATAAAATTGGAATCTCCCAAACACAAACTCTGTCAACAGTCATTCTTTGCCTACCACCGTGGATGCTTCAAAATCCACAATGAGGCTTTACAGGATTTTTAAGGATTGAGACAATTTTATTTTATGATGAGGTTCTATAAGAACAAAGAATGTGTCAATGGTTTCCTACACAATGGATGATTATCAACAATTCATGCATACTCCTTCCAAGTATTACGCTCATGACTTATTTTTGTTTTAAAAATACTGCTAATAAATTTGCTATTTACTACAGCCTTTTTAGTTATACTTTGAAGAAATTGTTTTATTTGTTTTTGGTATTTAATTATTTAACACCTTGAGGGCCATAATTTTGTAAATTGGTCGAGCCACATAAAGATTACAAATAAATAAACCATCTTCTGACTAAAAACCATCAATATATTACGTGTTCATAGCTACAAGTTTTACTGCCAAACGTAAGAAAGCTGACTCTGTATAGTGTCGAACTGCTAGATCTTCCAGTAAAAAGTATATCGTTTGCTGGTCCACTCAGACCTGATATATATGTATATATATTACACCATTTAACCATTCACCTTGAGCGTCTCTTGCACCTTTTTCTGCTCCTCCTCCCTTCGTTTTATCCTCCTGAAGGCCTTGGCTTCGCTCTCGTCACTCAGCCCAGGCAGGCTCCCATCAGCAAAGTCCGACAGCTCCTCCTCCGCTTCCTCAGCTATGTCTGAGAGCTCTGAGCGCTCACTCTCCGAGGTGTAGTCCTCACGGGGGACCCGCGCATCAGCCTTCTAGGAGAAAGAGGACCCCAAAATGATTAAATAACATTTAGCCCAGCAGCTTATTGGACTAAAATTACAAACATTGTCAACTTGCACATGTTATGAAGTTGCGCAGCGCGTACTTGTCCATGTAAGTATTTGACAAAAGGCAGCATATGATACTTGTGGGTGCTTTTAAGTGCCAAAACAAAATACATCATGGGTATCATGGGGGTGGGGGTAGGGTTTGGGCAGCACATTGGGGACCAGGGGGTAAGGTGGGGATATCAAGGGGGTAGGATGGGGTATCACGAGCACAGTGTCAGGTGGGTTGTTGAAGTTATAAAGAGGGAAGGGTGGGGTATCTTGAATGTAGGGTAGGTTATCATTGGGCTTGGGTGGGGGTATCATGGTTATAGGATAGGGTGGGATAGTATGGGATAGGGTTGGGGTAGGGTTTGGGAAGGGTATATAGGGGTACCATGCTGGTTGGATGGGGTTATATGGGGTAAAGTGGGTATCACTAGGGTATGGTGGGGTATCATGGGGCAGGGTGGGGATATTATGGGGATTAGGGTGGCGGTAACATGGGGAGAGGGTGGGATATCTGAGAGAAGGGTGGGGTTTGTCCCCTACCCTCTATTCCCCACCCTTGTCAGAAAGAATTAACCTAGATACACCCTTGTATAGACTGCTTTACCTTTGCTACATCATCTTTCTCAGCGACATTCTCCACAGCCTTTCCGCTGCTTGCAGCTGCGGGCGGCTTGTTATTGGCCAGCGGGCTGCTGCTGTCATTGATGCGACATGCTTCCTCTGATCGTGAGCTGTGGCTGGAGCTATCGTCGTCCTCTGCACCGTGATACATGGCTGGGGGTCGGGAATACTGTTAGGGTCAAGAAACAGACAATTCAATGCAAAATTACAATGTACAAATACAAGAAAAGAGTATTAAAACAAGAGCGCCAATGGTCCAACAATTATGGTGACTGACTCATTTGCGGTGGTACAAACTGCCAAAAAATGAGTTTCTTAAGCAAGAAAAATATTCTTGAAAAAAGAATATAATTCTGTCATAAGAAAACCTTGTTTTGGAAAGAACAATTTTCTTAAAATTTTGGATATTGAAAACATTAAGAAAATTGTTCTTACCTGATTTTTTTTTTTCTTAGACAATTTCCAATTTCAAGAATATTTTTCTTATTTTAAGAATATTTGTCTGTAGTGAGAACATGTTTCATAGCTACATGTATGTGGGTTCAACCACTGGAAGGAGAAACATAGTGTTTTGTGCTCTTGGGCAAGATGCTTTACTACAATTGCCTCTCTTCACTCCAAAGCATAAAATGATACAGAGATCAGATTGTGTTTATCTTTTGTACTGCTGCATAGTCATGTCATGGCCTGATGAATAGGGTAACAACTTCCATAGCACTTTGAGACACCAGTATAAACTGTTTTATAATCAATGGTTTTCATTCAATGATAAACACACATTCAAACCCATACATTTGATCTGAAAAGAAACTCTTGATCCAGATTTTTGTTTCATGGGTCTAATGATAATAAATACTCATGACACACACAACAGGCCGTAATATATCAAAACAATGCAGAAAAAGCCACAAAATGCAAATGCAAATTTCTCTTCAATACGCATTCTCTCTGCAGAGATAGTTTCTCATTCACTGCAATTCTGTTGGGCAACATGTCTGATGATGGGCGTTATGACACATGTACACAATGCTTTCTGGTAAAGAGTAAATCGTCAAACTTTAGAAGTGCAGAATTGTGCAATGCTTAAAACATCACACGTGATAAAGATTATTTGGTCAACACAACTAGATACCTTCTTCTTTTATTTATTTGTTGACTGTACGTTTTGTTGCTAAATACGAAATTGACCAAAATTACAAATCAAACAGATTCATTTGCAACAACAATCCAAAGTCCACACACAATGTGAATGAATAAAACCTTTCTTCCACTCGCTCTTGCTAATTAAGGTAAAACACCTGTCAATTATTATCTGCGTGATGTTTTGGAAACTGGATTTATACAATGTAAAACTGTCTGATACATGTACAGGTTATAAAGTTAATGTGACAAGAAAGAAGAAAGAAAAACATTGCAAAGATTCTGTCATCAGTGACAGTTGAAGGTAATAAAATTGGCTGAAATTGTCAAAAGCATAAGCAATCAAAACATTATGAAGCTTCTGAAATCTGCCGAAAAACAGTGGGTGAATCTGTGCTGAGAAACGGGCAGAATGAGAAAAATGTAATGTTAATTTTGGAAATGAAAAAAAAAAGAACACGGCACGGCATTCACACATCATCCTGGTCAGGGACAGACTCACTCTGCGTCTACTCTTGCCACGGTGGTTGCTGTGGTGGTGGCGGTGCCCAGGGTTGGAGTGACGCCGGGGGGAAAGCTTGCAAGGGAAAATGGGGGATTTCAGATGGAAGAATTGTATGAAATTGACCAATCTGATGCAGAGTTTTGTGGAGAAAGCTTGTCATTTCATCTTAGGCCTGGGTCATTCTCACCAACAGATGATAAGGTTAGGTAAGATGCTTCGGGCTTAAATTTTGATAATAAAGGCCAAAAGTTGATTTTAATTTCAACAATTAGGTGGCTATCTAAACAAGCGCATGGTGGTGTGCTTATTTAATTTATTGATTTAAAAGTGGGATAGTAGCTAAAATCTGTCTATGTACACTGAATACTTTTTAGGCTTCAATTTTCTAGAAATAATTCCAGCTATTACACTTATCAAAAAACACTGCTACCAAGGATTTGGCTCCAACAAACTCCCTCTTTCTCAATTTTAGCTTCAATGAACCAGAGAATAGTGGCTGGAAATTGCTACAACAAACGACCGCTATGGATACTGGACAAACTGTAGACAAAATTGTGTTCATTGTAGCACAGTTCAACTATGAAACAATGACCAATGAAACAAGAGCATTTGGCTCATAAATATGCATGAGATACAATAATCACCTTTGCCTCCATGGCTCTTAGCGTGGCTTCACCACGCCTGTCCTCCATAAGGGCTGGGGGTATCCTGGCCGGCACCGAGTCGATGGAGAAACCGTTAGGGGAGAGGGTCCTGACCACCACATCCCGCGCTGACAGGAGTTTGATCTTGTTGAGGCTGACTGATACTTTGTCCGCTGTCAAAGAAGTTGTGTCATCTGATAAGTACTTCTATAACATTTGTTTTAATACATTGCATTACAATGTATTTACACCTTGATGAATCCATAAAATCCTATAGTGTTGGGGTAGTTGGGGCATAGAGAGTAACAGGCAGGGCACTTTTGAGCAGTACACTTGGGCCATTTTCATAGAGCTGCTAAAATGTATACATACTCTCTTACATAATTTAGTTGGCACAGAAAAAAACAACAGGCTCTCTGTTGAACAATCATGGCTCCGCCGCCTCTTCGATTCTTCAATGCTGGCCCCAGTATAGAAAAAATGGAGGCAGAACACCCCATCCGATTAAAACTTTCTCACTATCCTTCTGAAGCACAAACATTTGGTACGCAATTTTTGTCTGCTTAGCAGCATAATGAAATTTGGCCCAGGAATGTTAAGTTTGTTTATTTTCATCTCACAAGCTCTCACACTTTACCGTTTTTTTTTTCATTTTCATTTCAAAAAGACGTCTTGAGCACTTTTTGTAGTTTACTGTCTTAATGTTAACAAATTTATTCCTGCATGTAATTCACCTTCTCTCTCCTATTCTCAAAAAGAAAAGACCTAACCTGTTGGAGAGTGTATTTCAGCCACTTTGGTGTCTTCAGCATACACAGCATAACCGGTAACCACAGCACCGTTAGATAGTCCTGATGTGGTTATAGTGACTGGTAGCCATTCCACCACACAGACTGCGGGTGAGGCTCCTGCCTTGACTTGGACGTCAAGTGGGGCGTCAGGAAGACCTGGAAGAGGAAAAATTAAAACTATGAATCGCAATTTGGAAAAACACTTGCTTAGTCAATTAACTGGAACATGACAGGTGCTTACCAGGGCTAGATTTCGTAGGGCTTCTTAGTAGAAAATGTAGCTCAAGAAAAATCAATGGGGAACCAGTCACAAGCAATATAGGTACCGCTGTATTTTGGCTGGTAGCCAGTCATTCCTACACAAAACCTCCCTGCGCTAAGCAACTTTGTATGCTCCTCAGTTAAAAAGAAACTTGCCAAAGATTTGGCTCTCTAGCATCTCCAGCTAGAGTGAGCATCATCGAGTCGCCAATGTTTGTAACATGAAGGTGTTATAAAGTTCTTCAATAGCTAAAATCAATTCCAATCTTATTGACATGGTTTAGGCCAAAAAAAAAAAGTCTCCGGTTTCTGGTATGCGCGCGCGTCGCCGTAGCCATGCGCGTCGGCAAAATGAAAAAGTTTTTTTTTCAATACAAGATGATGTTTCAAAACTGCCAAACTCACTGGTTTGACTGGAATTCTGCTGCTGCACAATTTTAACGTGTTTTTAGATGGGGTTATGATCGAGAATAAGATTTATGTGGCCTCTCTGGACTCCCATATATTTGCACTAAGTTTAGTCGGGCACCATTTGCAGTCATCAGCCGACATTTGAAGCCAAAAAAAAAAAAAAAAACAGGTAAAAAAAAAAAAAAAGCCGTGTCACCGCACCACTTTTGGGGCAAGCTCCATACCAGAAACCGGAGACTTTTTTTTGTTGGCCTTAGTGGGAAATGTGATTTTGTTTTGATATGATCAACGTTCCTCCCCCACCGAAAAAAAAGAAGAGGCGTAATTGGCAAAGTACTAGTTTGGACCTCTGGAATCGTAATCAAAAACTTTTAATCAAATATAGGTTTGTTTCACAGCTATTTCAGCTGTTGTCTTTTCCTCCACGTGAATCCAGCTTTCTTATAAATGTGAATTCCTTTCCGCATACAAGGAAAACTAGTATTTGTGACCGTCTCTGGCATACACTATAATTAATAAACAGCTTTACACAACAGTAATAAGAAAGGCAGTGTTTTAAACTCATGACTGTTATAGGCTATCAGCTTCGGTCCAAAAGTTGGGCCACCGGTATCAAATTATCGAAAAGAGCAATGCTCATACGATTTTTGGCAAGGTATACACATCTAGAATTGGAAAATGTGTAATAGCTTTGTAGTGTGAGCGGTGTCAGTTTTTTGGGTGTTATCACTTTTATTTTGTATTTTTGTCAAAATGGCCGCCAATATGCTTGAACCGGATTGATTATATGTGGTAACTAGCATGTTTTGCCTGCCACTTTATTTTTTTTTTAAGTAATAACACCCAAAAAGCTGCCACCACTGCAATGTTATCACATATTTTCCAACTACAGGGGTGCATACCTTGCCAAAAATCACAATGACCACTATTCCCCTCATTTGATACCGACCAAACCCCCAGGCTGATGGCCTATTATGGAGTATTATTATGGAGATTATGGGGTACAGGCACAATGTTGATTTTTAAAGATTCGCCAGTATAAGCAACAAAAGTGAAAACTATTTTGAGGGTTGTTTCTGGGAGGCATGCATGGTTTTGTTTGAATAATGTGAGGCAAGTTTTTCTTTCAAAGAACTGGCACATCTCACACAACTGTCAAGAAATTCCGTTGGCAATGACATGATAAAAATATGGAGGAAAATAACATCATACATGTATATAATTATACATCATACACGTAGCTGTTGACAACTTTAACATGTAAAGCTATTAAGAACAACTATCCAAATAAAAATGCCCTATAGATATGTCAGACTACATAGTTTCTATAGCAAGATGTTAGAGCAGGAGCACATACATATACAAAATACTAGTCAAGGTTTGTTCTAATGCTTAGATCAGCCTAAATTAGCACTTTGAATGATCTATGCAGTTTTTTGAATAAGGTCTGAAATTCATTTCTACAGGATGTTCCCCCCAAAACAAAAAACCGAACCCTCAAAATGCCCTCTTTTACACAGCTTTATAAAGCATAAGTCTACTTTATTTTCATTTGTCCATAAACCTTAATTTGTTGGCTTTGATATACTGAAAACACAATTTCAATCGGTTGAAGACTTATTGAGTTGTGGCTAATTAAACAAAGTTACAAAGTAACTGCTTTTTCATTTTGTCCATGGCATCCGATGTTTGACTGCTGCAATGAAAACAAGGTCTAAAATTTGCATCCGTGAAACATACAACCAAGTAGAGGGAAGAGCAGAACAGTAAACATCTGAGAAATTAATCAGAACAGTCGTTTTCAGGACTACCATTTCTTCTAAAAAGCAAAAAGTGACCATTGTTACAAAAAAAATAAAAAATACAAAAACCAAGTAAAGAAAGAAAGATTAAAAAAAAGCAAAACTACTCTGACCCAAAATCCATTACATTTCCAATAAATGACACTTAAGACTGTGGACAAAATAAAAAAGCGACACTTTTTTTTTCAAATTGGCCACAACTCAATAAATGTTACAAAAAATACTGGAACAATGTTAGGTATAGGGTGAAGCATAGCTTTTGTACCTCAGCCTGTGGACCAAATAGCTAATATTACAATACAAGTAACGAATAAAGACAAAACGCAGGGACAAACAGGAACATAACAAACAGGAGTAAAAAAATTATGTATCAATATTTCTGATGTGCTGTGACAAAGAGGGTGTTTTGAGGTTTCATTTTTTTGGGGACACCCTGTATATGCAGAAGAGCAATATGTACATTGATCAGTTGATAGTAAATTGAAAGTTAGTTGACGTGGTTGACAAGCACATGAGAAGAAAAAGGCAACACAGGTACAGAAATTTATAGGCACTAATTGCCAATTTTTTCCCATGTTAGGCCAAAAAAAAAAAAAAATAGTTGGTCTCTGGTCAGACCGAAGTTCCGGAATTGATGCGGCGACGCGTTTTTTTTTTTTTTTGGCTTGAATTGTACAGACAAGGTGGGTACTATTTTGCTTTTTTGTGTCCTCATTATACATTGTTGTCCTCCATAATTTGCCTTGGTGCCCTGTATCATTTGCCTTGGTACAATTTCCACATTCCTTGGTGCTCCTTGGTACAAAAATTTGAGGAGGTGCGGCAATAGAGGGCGCTGTTGTAGCTTCCGTGTTAATTGGAAGAAAAAAAAAAGTTGACGTGCGCGCTGACCAGAGACCGAGTACTTTTTTTTTAAGCCTTAGCTACAGTTATCAACAGGAAAAGTACAAGTACCCCTCCAGTAAGTCTGATAGCTCTACTCCAATGGGAGCATGGCCTAGGCAACTATTAAATCACTCCAACAGTTTACATGTAACATGTACACCGATAGTAAATTGAAAGTCTGTTGACATGGTCGATAAGCACACGCCTATCAGGAAGCAAAAGGCAAAACAGCTATAGAAATTTGTTCCCATGTTACGCCACAATTATCAACACAACAGGAAAAGTACAATTACCCCTCTAGTAAGTCTGATAGCTCAACTCTCTTGGGAGCATTGCCTATAGGCAACTATTAAATCACTCTTACAGTTTACACGTAGACATGATAGATGGCATGTCCAACTCAATCCTCACGGGTATGCATTGGTTCAGCAGTGCCCAGAGGCAATCACAGTAAAGTGGCTTGCTTAAGGGTACACACAAATTGCTCCATATCAGCCCCTCTCCTATGGGGCTCACAAGCATATGTCAATGTAAGTTCTAATAGTCAGATAAGAGCTCCATTGCTCAAGTGCATATGGGGACCCACTAGAAGTAAACAATGCACATGTTAAGGCCGATTCATATTTTCACGTAAAAGCAAAGTGAATTTCGTCATGTCAACAATCAAAGGTTCATTTTTGCTAGGATACAACCTCAATCCTGCAAAATCCACCGTCATTTCTTAAATGTGGTCCTTGGAGAGGTGACCACTGCCTCAATCCGCAAAATCCTCCAGCAATCACTGTCAATCTGTTGAGGCAGAGCCAGTGACATCCTGGTGCAGTGTGGAGGATTTCAAGTATAATCCAGGCCTAAATGTATTACGGCTGAGCAATAAACAACAAAAGGTCCAGCCGAAGACCTTCACACAGTGCATCCCCCCGAATCAGCCACACACTTTTGCCACATAACCTCAATCCTGCAAAATCCTCCATTTTGCAAAGAGGATTTTGGAGGATTCGGGGAGGTTATAGGGTTAAGATGTTCTCCGTTATTTTCATGAATTCGCTTTGCAAGACATTTGCACGAAGTACAAACCGGACTTTAGGCATATTGTTAGGTAAAAAGGCATTCAAGCACAATTTTCCATTGCCGTGATTGTGTGTGTAAACTGATCAATGAAGAACATTGTTATACTAAAAAGCAAATGATATCTTACAGAAATGTAATGAATCCCATAGAATTTGGGAATTCCTTAGTGTTTGGTCACAATCATACACTAGGAATTTGAAAACCCTGTAAATTAATTATTATGATACAGCCACTTGGGGAGGATTAATGAATGGTTATGGTTTATTAATAAATAAAACAATTTGGAATTTTTTTTGTTTACAAAAAGGAAATCAACACAAAAGAAATCAGAGAAAATAATCTAGGTTTGCTGTACACAATACACAGAAGAGGGTTACTTTTGGCAAGGGACATCTATCTGTACTTACAAGGTAAAGTCTTCTTTTTCTTTTTCGAGCGTTTCGGCTCTGCTTCCCAAATTGAAAAGCATGGTGCAAAAAACAGTGTAAGGTTTGATAAAAAAAAAGCAAAAGAGAAAATGAATATTGGAACAGGTAGACATGATGGAAACTGGGATAAAACATCCGACAAGTTTATGCCAGGGGAATGGTTTCACTTTAACAAGTTTCTTAATTGAAGGATAACTTTGATTCCATCAATAGTTCCATATACACTGCATGGGTGTCCTGCTCTGCGAATTGAAACACAAGTCACCAGTTGAGGTTAAAGTGTCAATAAATTTGGAGATGGTTGAAGATTTATTTTTAAAAATTTAAGACTGTGTAATTTGGTTTTAATGTACCCTTAATCCAAAGGTTTCAATTTCTTTAGCACAAGAGCAATCAATAATATTCAAATGAGCCCTCAATCAGGTTTAAATGTGGAATCTTGTTTCCAACTATGCTCAATTCAATCAATGAGAAATGCAAGAGGATTTTTTACATCATGTTAAAAAAACCAAAGTGCCATTCAAAACAATCATATGACATTTTTTTTTTCCCATAGAGGTAATGAACTAAACATTGTCAGCAACTATTTTATAGAATTTATCAGACTGAATTCTGACTTGAAAATGTTCTTATAAGAATCCTTCAACATTCTTACTCACTTGTAAGATCTTATATATTCTTTCTATATTCTTACTCACTTGTAAGAATCTTATAAGATTCTTATATGAATCTTATAAGATCTTATTAGTTAAAATCGTACGGGTTATAATGAACCTTTTACAACTCTTTATTTTTCGGCCCCTCACCTATGTAAATTTACAAATATGTAGTGCTGTCTTCAAATTTGTGGGAAAATGAAATGATTTGGTGACGTGCATGTGACACATTTTCCTGAGCTGATTACAGTATGTATAATATGTGTGTTGGATATTTTCTCACCTCCTGGTAGTGTTTTGAATTCTATCTCCGTTGAAAGTTTCTCCTTTGAGTTGTCCTGTGATGTCTTTCTTCTCTTGGCTTTGACGTTAACTCGGTAGACAGACAGTGGTGAAAGACCTACATAAATTTTTTTTTTAAATCAATAACAATTTGTTAGTTATGGTCACCGCCCAATTCATGGCACTAAGCATACAATTTCTTTTGTCAATTGAAACTTTCGTGGACACTCATTGGCAGTGTGTTCAACAAATCAATTGAATGGGCTTATGCGTATTAAACCCTTCAACTTTTCCAATATCATTACTGCACGTTTTTATTAAATGCTGAGCCTTTATGAGTTTTAAGACCAATATCCTGTTGACGTTTTGACACCAACTGGACATAACATTTGTACAAAATGTCAAAATGCTTCCCCCCCCCCAAGTTCCAACTCCTGCTTTAAGATGGCAGGAACAAAATTCCAGGCTCTCTAAACTCTCAAGTCTTCATATGAACCCTCTCCTGTCTGATTGTGGGATCTCCGTATGAACCATGAAAATGATTCCTAATTCACATTTAATTAACTTTATAGACTGAACTTCAAATGTAATTTAGCCAATTAGTCTCTATACTGCCCAAACTGCCCCAACACTGTATGGTTTTATGTAGTCATCAGGGAGTGTTGTAGGACTTAAGTCAGAACTCGAACTCAAGTCCATCTCAAGTCGCAATTTATTTCTGTGAGTGGGACTCGACTTGAGTCACATCAACAAATTACTCAGACTGGAACATCATGACTCAGACTTGATTGAAGCCAATGACTCGTGACTCACGACTCTCATATGTTTTTTACAAAGAATATTAACTTTTAAAAACATTGTTCGGATTGTTTTTGTCCGAAAGTAACGTTAAAGCAACACTAAAGAACATTCAGTACCAAAACTGTAATAATGAACCACTCTTCAGGTGCTGTTGCAAATAATAATGTTTGTTACACGTTAAATATGATGAGATTTGAAGGTTTGCATGGTGGAAAGATACTAAGACAAGATAAGTTTGTGGTAGCACCATGTGCATATATCTCTTTTGTGAGTATGTGTGTATCCATGTTTGTGCACACACTCACAAGAGATTTATTCACATGAAGATGCTAAAGATATATTTTTTAACAGTTAGGATCATTCTTGTTCCATGACACAAACTCACAAAAGAGATTTATTCTCATGGTGCTTCCGCAAACTTATCTTGTCTTACATATTAAATATGCCCCCATGCCTATATTCCGAGACAGGGTATCACTTACATATCGCTAACATGTACATGTACGTGTGGTCATCTTTATACACTACAACACTGTCATTGGGGAATAAATATAATTTTACACAATGTAGTAAACCTGCTACTGGATGTATTTACTATACCTGTTAGTGCATATCTATAGACGCTTGGTTTGACTGTTTGGATTTCTTTGCCGTTGACCGTGATCTGATGGGCCAGGTTGCTGTTGCCAGGCAACCAGCTGATGTCCGCACACGTTGGGCTCACATTGGAAGCTTTTAAATCAGTTGGGGCGGCCGATGCATCTGTTTTAAGACATCAATGACAAGGAATTTGATTTAAAAAAGTGCATTTATGTAAAACTTAACCCACAGTTTAAAGATTTGTTTCTTTACGTTGTCATTTTACAGGTCTTAGAGGGTTTCCAGAGTACACACTTAATTTTAGTTTAGGCTTTTTAATCAGCTACAAAACCCCAGGGACATTCTGCGTATTTCAGTCCTGCTGAATCCCAACGAATCAGCTATGTTTCCAAATAAATTTGTTGTGCATTTATCAGATTTACAAGATGAAACCATATGTTGTCGCATCTTGTCAGAGTCCGCAAAGTTAGACCAGCCGTTCCCTTTGAAGATAAAACCGTGAAAACAACTCAACAGAAATCTTTCTTCATGAATTTATGTCACTTTGAGCAGCATACAGACTCCCTCCCCACCCCATCCCCCCCCCCCCCCAAGAAAAAACCTCACAAAAATGGAAGGACATGATTCTTCATAAAAAAAAGTGCCAATGGGAGTAGTACATGTGATTATATTAGCTTCCAATAAAGCTGTTTTCAACCAAACTGCACATGTACAAATCCACCTTACAAATGTACTCTGATCAGAACATCGAGTTTTCAACCAACCGGTTCTTTTCAGAACCGCACATCTTCTCAAAAGAAATTTCCACATGGTGTTACTGCAAACCTTCACTAGTTCCTACTACCACCATATAATGTTTCAAATCTTACTTGAATCTACTCTAAGAACTGGTGAAGTGCAAAGCTTTGAGAATTTTGAGAACTACTTTATAACAAGAACTTTATCGTTTTTATCTATGATTCTACACACACATACGTTCAACTGTTTATCCTTCTTTAAAACCAGCAGAGAAATTGTGCTAAACCAGACTTCTTCATCTCTGAAATACCTTTTCCGATCATGATGGTACAGGCTGCATCCTCCGACATCCCTTTTGCCGTGACCGTCCGCACCGATATCCGGTGCGTCTCCAGTGGCTTAACGTTCTCCACCAGTGCTTGCGTCTTGGCGTCCCACTTAGTGGCCGTCCGGAACTGACCATTGACGTAGACGCGGTATTCCTGGACGTCCGAGGGCGCTATGGTGTCTGGTAGGAGCCAGGAGATGATGATGCTGTTCTTGAGCTGGCGCTCCAGGGTCAGCTTCTTAGGACAGGGAACTAAAGGACACAAATTGTTGAAAAAAATCATCCCTGATCTTGTTTCTTTTCTTTAATAAAACCTGAAAACATTTATGTTCCACTATGTATGCATATGATATGCAAGATTCCATCAAACAAGAGCTTTCCTGAAATTTACCGCATTTCAAGAAATTGAAACTGAATTGAAGAAGGGCCGGGGAATGCCCCCCTTTTGTGTTACATTAGCTGCATGCTTCTTTTTTTTCAAGCCTACATGAGTTTGAAGACTGGGCCCAGTTTTATAGCGCTGCTTAACACAGGCATGCAACTGGGAATTTAGAAAAAAACAAGGAAACTCCAAACCACACAAGACTTTGTACAGTATTTTTCAATTTGTAATGGCATTCATGAGAAGCAAAAAACAAGGAAATCAGCAGATCCAAGGAAAAGTTGCAGGCCTGTTAACAGTTAGCAGAAAAGTTGTGCTTACTTTAGCAGGAAATCATGCTGCTTAAGCACTATGTCATGGCATGGACATGCTAATGGTTGTGTGTGCATGGAGATTTCTATTATGACACCACTGATTTAAGCAACTTTTTCCTCTGGGGTTAAGCATGCTTTTGCTGTGCTTATTACTGCTTCCGATCTCCATGAAATAGATGGAAGCTCAGTAAGCACAAATCGGTTGTTAAGCAGCGTTATGAAATTGGGCCCTGGTGTCTTGCTGAGGTTTTGACACTTGACGCATAGTGTTCAGCCAAAATGTCAAATTTTGGACCAAGGCCTATGACACTGGCCAAAGAGTTTGTCTGCTGACATGCTTAGACCAACATTTTCTTTTCTCACCGTCAAAGATATAATCAGCTGCAATGTCGCTCAGTGAGGTCAATCCATCCTCCCCCAGTGACTTCCCATGACCTTTGACCCCATTGTCCTCGTCGACCTCCGGGATGTCCTCCAGGTCGCTGTGGTGCTCGCTGCTGCGGCTGAAGCTGGGCAGGTCCCCGGCGTAGTGGTTCAGATTGCCGCCTCGGCTCAACTCTTCCTCCTCACTGTTGAACTCCAGGTCCTTCATGTCATCTGAAGGGGTATAGAAACCTTTTTTAAAATTGTGTTCCCAGAGCTCTTCAACGAATTCAACTTTTTTTCAATTACCGGTAATACATTTTCAACTTGTATGTTTTATTCGAACCAAAAACCTCCCTTTCCCCTTTTCTGGACATCTGCAAACCTCTGAAAATCGGTTTTTTTTTTAGTGGGCACATTGCAAGCAGACTGACTCCTGCTCCGTACACTATCTTTACTAATTTTGTTCAATTAATACATTTTCAACTGGCATGTTTTAGTCGTACCAAAAACCTCCCTTTCCCCTTTTATGGATCTCTGCAAACATCTGGAAATTGGTGGTTTTTTTTAGTGGGCACGAACAGATCAGTTTTGCAAGCAGACTGACTCCTGCTCCGTGCACTATCTATACTGATTGTTGCTCGGGAACCAGCCTACCCTGTGAGAAGGGGAATAATTGTCTGGCAGCCAATGATTCGAAATTGTAAAGTAATAATTCAAAATCTAAACATGGGTTGATTTTTTCGGTCGATGTCTCATTTAAAAGTGAATACTGTTTGTAATGCTAGGAAAATAGCAATTTAGAAAAGGAATCTATTTTTTTTTCGGGATGAAACTCGAAAATAGCACAAGGAGTGCACCTTTAAACCAAGTCAGAATGTTTAAGGAAATTTAACACAATTTTCCATAAACAAGCCACAGACCAATCTAGGTCCAATTTCTTGAAGCTGCTTCACATGGACTTTTGCTAAACACAGACAATTATGGCTTAGCAATAAAAGGACACCAGCAGAAATTGCATGTCTGTTGCTAGTGGCTGGTTCCCTGCTGATTTTTGCTGAGAATTTTTAATTGCTAAGCATTATCTTTTTCTGCTCAGACTCGCTGTGAAATTGGGCTTATAGGCAGTGAGTCGCTGCACACTTATGGTGGCCCCAGTAATGGCAGAAGCATTGCGCCAGCTGTTGTACAAAACAACAGCTCTCTGACGATTAACTGGCACAATTGGTTAGCAAGGAGTTTAGTGGCTTTATTGTGCACATAATATCTATGTACATCTGGGCCTACAGGGTCAGCACAGAATTTGGAAAGCAGTGCCATGGAAAGTGGCATCATGACAATGGTCTATGGAATGGTTGCAGGCATCGTGGCCATCTTGGTCTTGTAACCTGACTGCATGGCCAGTTGGGTTTCCTCATTTTCAAGAGTACCTGCTTTATTACTTTGGAATCGTGGTCACTGCTGTATGATGATTACATGTTTGTCAATATTTTGATTACTGTCCATCAATAAATAAACCACATCAATTACAATACAAGATAGCATGCACAACTAGAATAAATATAAATAGCAAGGAACATAAACTTCACTTCCAAGACTTACAGGAAATAAAAACAGGACAACAATACTAAACAAAAAGTAAAGTGAACTGGCATAAGAAAGTTGGCATAAGGAACAAGAAATATGCGTGTGTACATGTATATGATAACAACTGGAAAGAACATTCTGAAACACATAAGACAAAAGAATTTAGCTAAAACATCAACTAGAACTTAGTTGTATTAGTGCAAAAGCAGCCACTTTCTTTATATTTATCTGGACACCAAAAAATATCCATTAAACAGCAAACTGTTTCCATGGAAAATGAAGCAAAAAGGCAAGAACGACATTTACAAAGAAGAAATGCAAAATGGATACAGCCAATATAGTTACCACCAACAATGAAAATTACCAGCCATCAAATGACACAAAGCAAAAAGTCAGGGGGAAAAAAAGCCAACTGTCTTCATATCACAAAAGCAACCAATACTTTCACAGGGTTTACCCCAGAAAACACAAGCTACCAACACCTAGCTGCACAACACCAAAATTAGCCACAAGAAAAATATTCTTGAAACCTTTTTCTTTCAAGACACTCAAGTCCGGCACCCCGACACCACCTACGGCAGCTGCACTACTTCCCACCATAGCAAGGGGTGTGTCGGAAAGCAAGGCATCATGGGAAGGTTTGGGCGGTGCGGAGAGGGCTCCCTCTAGGGAGTATTTGCCCGATGAGTCTAAGGAGTCCAATTTGGAAGCTACACGCATGGTACGAATAATGTTTATAAAACCTTTTTTAAGTAAAAAGGAGAAATTCAAACCAACATTTGTAGTCAAACACTAACTCACAGATTTTCCAAAACAGTGTATTTTTTTGTTTACTTTAAGTAATTACAACAATCGCAATATGTCTTTCTCCAAAATGATTTTACAGCATGAACTTATATGAATTGTTTTCACAACAAACTTTCAGAATGAAGAAATACAAATATTTATTGTCCACAGAGTCAATAGTTGCCCAAAACCTATAAAAAAGGGGTTTTAACCATTTTAACAGAGCCTTTTTCCATGTCTAACAATTGCATTTCCTCAGATGTCCAAAATTAAATAAACCTAGAATAACCACACCCTTTATTTAAAATCCCCCCCACAGAAGTGTGGTTGGGGTCTACGAACGAATACTTACCTGTAGAGCAACACTACTTATGCATATTCCCCCTACCGGCAGGTATTTTCGCTAAGAGTTATATACAATAGCGCCCTCTGGCGCCCTACCCATAACACCCCGCGGCATGCGTGCCTCGTGAGCGTCCTCTTTTCTCGAGCGCTAAGTCGGAATACAACAAAGTACCCAAGGCATCGAGAAGAGTGGGGTAGGGGGGAGGGATGCTCTACAGGTAAGTATTCGTTCGTAGACCCCAACCACACTTCTGTGGGGGGGAGTCTACTTCACTCTACTTACCTGTAGAGCAACACTACTTATGCATAGACTAGCACCGTCAAGGAGGTGGGCCATGCGAGATGCTATTGTGCTTTCACAGGGGCACGTAACAATACGCGTAAACCCTGGATGGGCCCGTCGTTCCACATGTGGGTGGACAAGGCAGCCCAAAAAGGTCGGCATGATAAAGACATTAGTCATAATGGTAGCCTCAACATGCCAACAGAGATGTGATCCCCCGATTTTGGGAATCACACGTAATGAATTACAGCCCACCGATACCTACACATAAGAGTTCGGTGGGGCACACAAAATAAAAATTATCATGAAAGGCAAAACATCATGACATGGTACATATAGACACTATAATATGCACATGTACATGTACAGAGCTCAATAAAGAATCAGAGTTAGGAGACACCAATGCTGGGGAGGTCCCCAGTCTGAATATGTCTTGAGAACATGGTGGGGCTCAGTCAGTCGCCCTCAACACTGTTCTCCCATGCTCTGCCTTTTATTTTGTGCATGCGGACCAATCACACGGATTCTGCCGTTGATACGTCCGTGGTTTTATGGATGACCGTAGCCAACCTTCAGGCAATCTTGTCATGAAAGCCTGCAGGTATGGTGGGGTCACCATGATAAATACATGTCATGAAAGGCCTGCCTGTATGGCAGGGTCGTCATGACAAAAAACATGTCACGAGAAGCCTGCTTGTATGGCAGGGTTGTCATGACAAATACGTGTCGCGAGAAGCCTGTTGGTATGGCAGGGTTGTCGTGACAAATACATTTGTAACTGCAAGTGACCGATTCAAAGCGTCCCAGTGCAGCTAATGTACGACGTTAAAGTCATGATTGGCACCAAAAATTCTGCGTCTGGACAAGAATGATTTGATGCCCGAAAACAAAGACGTCCGGAGGCCCAGAGGGCTCTGACAGTCCTTAGTATAAATCCCTCCTTAGGGAGCAGACATCAAGTCATGATCAGCACAAAAAGTCGCTGTCTGAAACGGACAAGAATCATTTGATGCCCAGAACAAAGACATCCGGAGGCAAAGAGGACTCCGACCGTCTTAGCTCAAAAAACCTTCCTTAGGGATCAGACGCCAAAGTCATGAGTGGCACCAACATTTTCCATCTGGAGTGGACAATGATTTGATGCCTAGAACAAAGATGTCCGGAGGTAAAGAGGACTCCGACATTCTTAGTTAAAAAACAAAAATCCTCCCGTAGGAATCGGATGGGCACACTCGGTTCCCATCAGATGTGGTCCGTCTCAATTATACAGAAAACAGTTCTTTACTACATGTATACCAAGAAGTAACAACTGCTTACAAAAAAGAAGAAGAAAAAAGGCAACCGTAGAAAACCAATGAAACAGATGTGAAATTGTTCACTGGTTCACAGAACTCTAAAGATCTCTATAACACCTTTGGATAAGAAGGTGTTGAAGAGGTCCTGCAATTCAGGGGTGTTAAAACATCCCCTTAAGTTAACTGACACGGACGTTCAACTGACTAACATTAAGTAATCTACTGTCATGTTAGAAGTCCCTCAAGTGCAGGCTGTAAAAGCCATAGCTTGTTTGAGAAAGGTCTGATGTGAACAGGAGAGCATTACAGCATCCAGTACATCAGGAGAAATTCCTGCGGAGCTGGGTGAAGGAAACCCAAGCTGTGCTGGAACCGAATATTGCTCTGCTCGGAAGAACATTTGTACCTCCAACTGGTGCACCAAGGGAATGGTTATAACCCTGGAAAACCAATCAATGGGGTCAACATGGAGTTAAGAAGAGGACCTTGTCATCCTTCTGCTCCATTTGATTAAGTACCCCAGGGATAAAAGAAAGACGACAGGAAGGTGTATATAAGTAGCCTGTCCGTCTTCATCACCATCGTATTCGTGTGCCATGTATAAGGGTCAGGAACCCTCAGGCATTAGCCTGGCAATCTGTAACTAGTTCATGAAACAAGTCAGATTGACATGTGGTTAGTTGTCCTTGCTTGGGAGGAGGACCGTCGAAAGCAAGAAGCTAGGAGGAAAAAACCCCAATGGGGTATTTCTCAAGTGAGTGTACACAGGTGTGCAGGCTACAACTGTAAACTACAACATCGAATATAGAAGTTACATCGCAGTTTCTCCGAGACTGCCAGCATCTCAAGTATGTTAATGGAACTTGAATGATGCTCACACAGGGCCTCACCAATCCGCCACTAGATGCGTGTGGTGGGCAGTTAACTGGCAGGGTAACATTTCGCCATGACAGTTAATGAGTTAGGCTGCAATCTGTTAGAGGCCCACCCTTGTGAGGTTGGCAACGCCGAACCACAGGAGGTACTGCACAAGTCAGGTCATGGCCTGCACTGAATGCAGTGAGGACTGGGCCGATACAAGCAAATAGGTGAATGCCACCAATTTTTGTTTCCACGGCGCAGTCATATCGCCTTTACTATCTGAGCAGAGGCCAGGAGTGAAGCGGAAAAAAGGCTGGATGGAGCCACCATGAAGTTGCAGCGAGAATCTTGGTTTGAAAACCGTGAAATTCTCAGTGCTCTGGCCTGAAAATGAGTTGCAGTTGGTACCCTTCAGGCCAGGGCTCATTCCCCATGCTGATGTGTTAGACAGTCGACTAAATCTCATCAACATCTTTCCAAGGGAAATACAAGACGGGCCCAACACTGTGCTGGCCCGATGGTATTGATGTCAGCCTCAAAGTCTCCCTGACGAGCTCCTACGAGACAGATGGGTAGAGGTCGTCATGAGTCAGGTAGGCCACTTATGGAAATCATCAAAACAACTGAAGCCGAACCGAAATCGTTGTTACATTATCCTATGTGGCATGGCGTACAGAAAATGTTGCTAGCACGGCCCACACAAAATCATCTGGGCAAACTTCAAGAGGTATGCAGTTGAGAAAACAAACAACTGTTTGTTCTTCACCTGCGCTGGCCCACATGTAGTCGACATCGACCAATATGGATGTAGACATCGATATCCACCGCAAAAGAAAAGATCTTTGTCCGTTAAAAACTTAAAAAGTGGGACTCGAATCTTTGGCGGGCGCCCTTTGACGGGAGAAACAGTTCATCAATCATGTTACCCCGGCGGGCCAAGATTGCTAGGGTCTGCACTCGTGTAAAATTATAGAGTACTGAGTGCAGACTGTGAAATTGATAAAGAAAATAGCAGTCAACACGTCCGCTAAGACTGTCGAGTCAAGATAAAAACATTAAACCTACGGTACTTCATGAGGGTAAAGAGGGAGGCTGAACGCGTATCGCCGAGCCCACTTGATTATTCTACATGTACTGCAAAGTGTATTCAAGCTTCTGCGAGTATTATTTACGAAGAGCCGCTTGAATAATGGGGTCCCTCTACTGCTGGCAGCTTGTGCTTAGCTGCTTTGAAGAGGGAAGATGTGACAAAAAAATACCGAATTTCGCTAACGGAAAACGGTAATGATCACATTATTGCTTGAAGAGCAGCAGGCAGTTTGAACACAGGCACAATCTATCGAATGTGGTCCACAACATGCCTGCAAGAGTCGAATAGACCCCGTAAACGAGAACCGTAAATATATCTGGAGGGATGCGTTGCCCACGGCCACAGTCAGTTGTTGAACAACTCCCTCGGAGACAATGGACAGTGTACAATGTACATACACAAGTAATGCACACATGTACAATGTGCATGAAAAATGTAGCGATCTCAGTACAGCAAGAAACACCGCCGCACGGGTAAGCACTGCGCGGCGTGTCCCATTGTCCTTGAGTCACCCAACCGTGATTAATGTAGAGTGCTACAGAGTTCACGACTCGCAACTGAACTAAGACGGACGTTTCATTAACGTGCCCGCCTGACAATACATGTACATGTACGTGTATAAAACGTATATGACCGATAATAAAGCCGAGAACATAGTAAGGCTTGTAATGAGTGGGCCGAAAAACCGAGTCCTCATCACGGTAGCGTATGCCGCGGTGGGACCGGTGCAATAAACTCGCCCGGATTAGAAAAAATAAATAAATAAATAAATAAATAAATAAGCCGTTCCCGCCTGAGAAATGGACACCACTTTGTCCGTTGTCGATGTGTTTCACATTTGATCCAACGGAGGTGTGGGGAACACCTTGTCATTGTTAGATGTGGAGCCCGTCCTGCGCTTGATTTGAAAATTTTGTGATCGGGCGGAGGGGGCTCATCGGCGGAGGGTAATTTAAGTACCCGTGTAATGTCCTCTGCAGCAAACGGAATTTCGTTTCCGCGATTGACAGCCATTGTAACTGGTCTGATTCTTCGTCATCATCGGATGAATCAGCCGAATGCGAAGGCCAAAATGACCCCGATGACTGAGAGCCGTCTGGAGGGGCTAGTTGTACAGAACCACGCGGTGGTGGCTGGGCAACACCCTCGGAGATAATAGACATACATCGTACATAATATTATGCAGATGGTGAAGACTAAACACACGCGGGGATCCTGGCGCACGGCTAACTGTGTGCGGTAGGTCCCGTTGTCACGGCTGGCGAATGAGAAGTCCCGTTCGCCGTAGGCCGGGCTTCCGGTATAGCGCGCAACCATGTGTGGTATACATGAACATGTACATGTACGGACATGTGTTTTTTCCATTTTTGTACATGTACATGTACCTCGTTGTGCTCACGGCCGATGCATGCGAGACACTCGCTGCAGGCCGGGCCTCCGGTGTACGGTCAACCATATGTGGTATATCCCGTACGGTTGTGCCTGGGCCACCCAACCGTGGCCAACGAACGACGACTGTGAAGCCCTCACCGCATGCGGGGACGCCGCAGCACGACTAATTGTGTGCGGTATGTCCCTCTGTTCCCGGGCCACCCAAGCGTGACCGGTGACTGAATACTGCGATGTGGGCCCAACGACCGATGGTTGTGGGCCCAACGACCGATGGTTGTGGGCCGTAGTCCACCGCTGCAGGGGGCCCCCAATAGGGCCCGCCCGGCGGCCTGCCGACATAGCCGACATAGCCGATAGCGTATCGGAAATCGACTGAAAAGCCTGCAGAAAATCTGCTCTAGAAACCGCGTCCTCCCCCCGGGAGCGTTTGCCCCGGCGGGACCGGTCAGAGGAGTCGTCACACCCCGAAGAAGAACGGCGCGATCGACGTGCAGCCTTCTTCTTCTTATCCTTCTTCTTAGAAGAACGACCCGAGGTGTGTCCGAGGAAAAATCGGAAAACACCTGGGACACCGGGACCCCCGAACAACGGAAAAAATCCGATGATGAGAGTAGTCCCTCTGAGCGAGCTAGCACGGGGGCCGTCGGCCCCGGGATCCCCCCGGGCGACCGGCTCCGTATCGCTCATAATGCACCCGGCCGACAGCGCCTCAGGCCCCGTGGGCTGAGTGAGCGCTGAACGGACCGGTAGCCCGTGCAATAGCCCCCATCCCGACAACCAGTGGTGTTCGGCACTGTGTCGGGAGGACACGGGTGACTAGCGCCCACCGAAGTGTGACGGCTAGTCCCCTCGGGCTGCCCCGTGATCGGGGGAGGGCCAGGTGCCACAGCGGCGCTCGTTGCCGAGCCACGCTTGCCCTGACGGCCCTTCTTAGGCTTTGCTCCGGCACAGGAGATATGTTTTGGAGGAACCTTGCCGGAGTGTGCCTTTAGTTTGGGTGTTCTGCCTGAGTTGACCGGAGAAGGTGACCGAGGTCCCCTTAACTGATCGGCGGAACTGCCAACTCCCTCAGCCGACTGTGGCTGAGGGTGCCGGACGAGAGACTGCTGCCGCGGTAACGACGTAGCGTTAACGGCAGAGTCCCCCGAGAACTCGGTCCGTCCCGTGGGAAAGCTATCCCTAACGGTTAGTGACAGATCGGTCCTCCCCAAACGCTGCAAAATAATCAAATAAATACAACCAAGAAGATGATGAAAACTCTACAAACTGTTGTTTTATTAACTCTATTATTAAATACTTCTCTTAAACGCAAAAAAGGGTAGTAAATGACGAGGCAAACAGCGAGCTATTTCACGCACGTCCTACCCGACCTGCCGCTAAGAGAAAAGGGGACGCTCACGAGGCACGCATGCCGCGGGGTGTTATGGGTAGGGCGCCAGAGGGCGCTATTGTATATAACTCTTAGCGAAAATACCTGCCGGTAGGGGGAATATGCATAAGTAGTGTTGCTCTACAGGTAAGTAGAGTGAAGTAGACTTATGAGTTTAGGATGGTCTATTATTATTTTTTATTTAATACTTAACATGTATGTCATGAGTTATTTGGTTAGGACAAAATAATATAACTCTTACCATCACTATCCATTGCATTGTTGTTCATGAAACCAGGAAGGTCTTCCTCTGATGAAAAAAACACAAAACAAAACAAAATGCACTTGTAAATAATAATAATTGTTGAAATTCAGAAATACTCTACATCTTTGTATGGAAACTGATGCTCTAAACAGTGTTGATGTAAACATACATTATATGTAAACTGTTGCCTTCTTCAAAACATTTAAAGATATATATTACTGCTGACAACCTGTTCCTTGTCTTTTGAAAATTCTTAACCCTTCACCAAAACAAACTCCCAATGAAAATAATATTATGTAAATGTCAAGATGCATGCATGCAAATTGAATGAATGGATCAACACCATCTACATGTACACCATGGTAGAGAGATATTGTTTCTAAAAGAAGACAGAATATGTTCAGAAAATAAAGGATCCGGGTAGAAAAAATAGAACTTTCCCCTATTAACCAGCCCTACCAGAACTCAACCCATCAAACCCCAACAGCATGTATTGTTGGAATCTGTCTGGATGGGTACAGTACCCCTAAACTGGCAGTCTCTTACATTGGATTGGCATACCTCCAGAAACTAAGTCAGAAATATGTGTGTGCAGTTTCCCATACGGTGTTGGAATTTGCCAGGATGGGTATGGTTCCTAGTAAATCATGCTAGGGAGTTAGGGTTAAGGAACAGAAATATCCTCATCCAGCCAGATCCTTTCAAGCCCACTGGCAGGAGTTAAAGGATTTTGTGGGAATGAAAATGTTAGAGCCCCACCTGTGTTACTTTCCCAGAACTTGACAACCCTTGAAAGTTCAAGTAAAAAGAGTGAGCAGAGTTCTGCATGCAGAGTGGTGGATTTTGGTGGATTCAGGAAGGCGGAAAAGCTGCAGTCATGCATGTTGTGCATTCCCGACATGCAAAAAGAATTGCTGCATTGCAACTTTTCATTTTTCATTTAAATCTTGAGGAACACAAAGCAAACTAGTCCATGTACTCTCTGGGTATTTTATGTAAAGTTATAGGGGGAACAGGTTCATAGGTAGAGAAGCACAGAAAAAACCCGAAACCCCATTTCCCAAGATCATAATAATTGTACTAAATGTAGTGCTTATATAGCGCTTAAAGGGAATATACATCATTTGCTTTTGCTGTAATTTTCAGAATGGATGGAATTGGGGGGTTGGAAATATATAGGAAATATAGTTACACTGACTTTTTTGAGGTTTTGGGTTCGAAAATGCTATAAAAACCAAGAAAAACTATCATTTTCCTGTAGTCTGGTTCCCTGACTCCATATAAGAAGAAACAGAGCAGTTTACATACATTGGGGAATTGTAAGGTCAGGGAACCAGTCTAGCTGGCTCGTACCCGTTCATAGGTTTGTAATCGATTGCAAACAAGTGCGATGGTCAATTGGGGCCAGTATTTGAAAAAAAGCCAGTTGTTTCCAACGCTGATCGGCCGATCAGCGTTGGAAATTGATACAAAAATACCACTTTTCTTGAAAATGACAGTATACCAGGTGCCATGATTTTACAGGATGCTTTACACTGTCATTCACTAACAGTCCAGCAAGGTATTTCAAAATGATTTGGTAGTTTTATTTTTTGATATTTGCAAATGTTGTATTTTCCCTTTAACCACAATCGTAACCACAATCACAAAGTGTTTACAAATATTACCCCTTTTATCACACCATGAGAAGCCATTTCAGAGCAAATTCAGCCTCTACCCTCACAGGTACCCATTTATACTCCTGGGTGGAGAGAGGCAATTGTAGTTAAGTGTCTTGCCAAAGGACACAAACACCATGTTCCTGTCAGGGATCAAACCCACGCGCCGTTGTACATGAGTCAAACACCGTAACTACTGGACCATGGCGATCTACATGTTCCTTTCATGTGTCCACAAATACCAACAACATTTGAACGGTCAATACAAGAATGATAACCACTTCATGACTTCTGACAAGTTACCACTGTTCATAAGATTGAATTTGCATGTTGAACAACACTGAGCATACAGTGTTTAAAAAAAAGTCGGTGAAAGGGTAAAACCCAATATTGAAGTTCGCATTAAACAAAAATCCTAATTAAAAAAAGGGGAGGCGAACTGACGCACAGTTGGAGAGAGTTCAATTCATAGAGCCAAAGAACTATCACTGAGGAGGTGGCAGGTTCACATTTTGTTGATTACTTTAGTCACTCTGCACTGAATTACATGGAGTAAGGTTTCTGTTTTGGTGCATAATTATGACAATTCCTGAAAAACATCTGGTTAATATCAGTAAGATATTAATTGTCATTGTCATTCCATGAATGGGAGGTTTGTGGTAACCATGTGAATGATATTGCTTTGTGGTTTGTGTGGTTCTGAGAAGAACCAGTTGGTTTAACTCCAAATCCAACTGAGTTAAAACAACTGGTTCTTCCCAGAACCACACAATCATATATCACTCACATGGTGTTACCGCAAATCTCCCATTCATTAATAAAAATCCACCATGCACACCTTTCAGTCTCATTGTCATTCAAATTTCATCAACCCAGCCGGCACCTAAATACATCACAAAACACGCAACCTACATTTTAATACTGGGTTTTCCGTTCACCACTGTATACTCAGTGCTGTATGAGGGTTTAAAGCTACAGTCCATCATTTGCAGCTATCCATAAAGTAACTCACGTAATTATTGTTGAAAAACATACTTAGTTGAAAGATAGTAAGGGAACTAAACTCCCTGTGAAATTATTCTTTCTGGCATGCTGTCATTTTGAAGAAATCAACGAAAGAAGGCCTTTCCAACGGTGCATCTAAACACGCATTGTTGGAAATTTCTGTTAGTAGTTTGTTTTTGTATTCGGCGAAGCGCGTGCAAGCATTGACGCGATGCACACGCGAGTGGTTGCTATAATTTGTCAGATCAGTGCCGACATCGCGTAGCTGCCATCGGCTCAGTGAGAACGTGTCTCAGACGCTGAATTCAGGCCCAATTCCAAACATGATTCAGCAACTTTTGATTTGAAATCGAGATCATAGAATGTTGTTTTTCTCGAAATATACAGCTGTAGCTGAGCTGAAACTTCATTAGGTCAGTTGTTCAGCACCATTCTTTAGATTTTGAGCACTTTTGATGCTTCACACGAACAAAATGCACAAATTACAAATGATGGACTGTATATATGAGTAAAAAACAAAAATTACAAGATTTCTTGGGTGGAACTTAAACCCATGACCTGCTGAAGGGTGCGGATGTCATAACCACTTGACCACCAAGCTTGCCAGGTTTGGCAAACTCTTGGACAGCTTTGAGTATTGAGTGGTTTAAGGGCAAGAATTACATCTCCTTAATGCAAAAACCTATCGTCTACAAAATTAAACTCTTCATTGAATAGCAGACACATGCAGCCCACAGTGTGTATACAACTGATCCCAGAACATGCAGAGGTGCAGTGTAAGGAAAGGTGTAGGGGTGTGGCTTAGCTTGCATTGGGAGTGTGCTTCATAGCAGGATGCTCATTTGAGAGATAAAATTCTGTCAGTTCATTACCTCTGGTATCATTCAAATCTTTGGTACCTAGATTACAAAGCCGGTGACGAACAAACGCAAACACGACAACACACAGACAAAACAGAGTGGCAAAGGAAAGTTAAAGGAACAAAGAAAAATTATCAGTCAGCCAGAAAGGTAACATTCATTTCAAACCAAGTCAGATCAGCTAGGTATTCACTACAAAACAAAATATTTGGGATTTCACTGAAAAAAATCAAAGCTGCATCTTTCAGCATATTAGTGCTCCACTCATATTAAAGCCTGGTGCATATGCAAACACTTTTAGGTGAGCAAAAATAAATGGGGAAAACTAGCAGAATTCCAATGTAATACATGTACAAATTATCCCACACTGTCTGTGAAAAGTAAGCTTGTAAAATTACACATTACAAAAAGTTAAATACAACATATTATTCAAGCAAGATAACCACAGCTCCTGTAAGGGTATTTTTTTAAACAAACTGTCATTATAACACAGGCTACTTGTAGTGTCCGCCGTTTTGTGTCCAATATATTCCAGGAAATGTATCTAACCGCTGGTTCCCTCACACCCTTCAGGATTTAACACATACACAAGTGCATGTTTACCTGCAACTCTTTCGATGAAATTGCAGGGAACCAATCCTCTTTGTCCGTTCATCAGTTCACCATCATAGAAGCCATCCTGTCCAAAAAGAAAGAGAGAAAACAGACAAACAGAAATTAAAAAATGAGTAATGTTTCTTAAACAAGCAGAAAGTATTTTTAGTATAAGTATACTAAACATTCCAAACTATATGCAGAACTTATGGTGAAATCTATACAATTTTGGATGACATCATATTTTTACAAAGCACTCAACTATGTTCACAATTTGTTAGTTCAAAATTGTATTAAGGTAATATTTTTCTGACTAATTTTGTAATGTTTTAAACAAATTGAAAGACAAACGGCCAAATTCAGATAAATAATGCTAATTTTTATCTCAAATGAAACCAAATAAACATAAAAAATATGATTTTGTTTTCGTTTCTCTAAAAAAAAATGTTGTGACTGACTATATTCAACACTTTAATTTCCTCTGGCCAACAAATATCATGTACATGTACATTAAATGTGCATTTGATACCAACATGTGTAGATATGTATGTGTATGAGTCAAAATAATTCCCAATGAAAATCAACATAATGGAAATAATAATCTTATACAATTTAAAGTGATTCAAATATACAACAACTTTGGTTGCTAAATTAACCAATTTTATGGCAGTAATCAATTGCTGTAAGTGGATAGTTCAAAAGGTTACTGGTTCATTAAAAATAAATTGAACAAACTCGAAGCAAGGTCCGTTCCTCATAACAAAAAGCAAAAAAGAGGGAAATAAGTACACACATAAGTCGAAGGAGCAACAGTCAAAATCAATTGAACAAAATCATGTCTTGTGGTCTCCATGCCTTTTCTGCACAATGACAACTATCATGCACTAAGTTCACACAAAACATAGGCCAATTTAGAAATGTATGCACTCGATCATTTCTCCCAAAATTTGCAATTTAGTAATAAGCACATTAGTATTTAAAAGAACACTATTTGTGTGTATTGAATCATTTTAACATCTGATAAGCATATCTTGACATCACAATTTAAAATTCTAAAAGTATCTAATGACAGCCATGAAGTAATATTTGACACCAGAGTTTAGTTTCGTACTCGAAAGGCACTAGCCAGTCAATCACACTTATCTAGTCCCATGTCAAATACAGGCTATTCAAATAACTGTGAAACAAATGCATTCCTCTTTAATTGTTCATCCCTACTACTTTGGAACCTCGTATTGATTAGACTTGTATTTGACATGTGATTGACTCGTGATTGATTTGACATCAACTTTGATTGCCACAAAAGCTCGTTTTGAAAGGAGTTTTTTTTTTTTACATTTCAAAATGCCGAGGTTCAATCTAATTTCTAAACTGGCCCTTCTTTTGATACAAGCAAAACCAGAAAAATAAGACCAAAAAAGAAGTACTGGAAAGATGGTTAAGTTTTTCTTCATTTTAGAGGATCAAAGACTCACCCATTCCGACTCCTACTCGGGAATGAAAGCAACATGCAATAGAAAATGGCAGTTGGATGATTATGATCATGCCAGATGGAAGAACAAACTCCGATCACATACACAATGATAAGGATCCTCTTATTCTATGCAAGCGTGAACAGTAGAGGGCGCTATTTGGTATGGGGTAGTGGAAGTAAGGCAGGTTGATGTAAGGACAGGTGGTGGCATTTCTTTTACCCACCCATGTGGTCTACTTTGGGCGCGTTTGATTAGCTTGACTTGGGTTACTCCTGTGCTGTTCAGACAGCACAGACCCTGCTTGTAGAATTACATCAAAAGTATGTGTTGTTCCCAGAGTCAAATTAAGTACTCCATACACCGTAGACACCAGTGTTCCGTAGGCCCTACTGTGCCCTAGGCACCAGCACAAATTTCACGCTGATGCTAAGCTGTATTATGCAAGCCATTCCACAATTTGATATTTTCGTAGGCCCTCAAATTTTTCGTGAGCCCCCAAATTTTTCGCAGGCCCTAGGCCCAGTGCCTACTATGCCCATTATATAATCCGATGGGTTAATTCCGAGAGACTGACAGGTATGATGGCCATACAGCGGGAAAGATCCGTAAGTGTCAAGTGGACAAAAAAAATCGACTTTATTTCAAGTCTAAAAAATTATTTGTTTATTTAATTGATACTTCCGAAGCTATAAATTCCAGTCCAATGTTGTTACTTTTTGCAAATGACGGAAAAGCGATTAACTAGGCTTAATCCGAAATTGAGTGTTTGGTCTGACATCGGGTGATAATCAGTAGCATGTGAGCGTTCAAGTTGCCCAGCTCACTAACCTGTCTGCCAATACCCGAGTTGGCTTAGGGAAGCCACTCAAACACGCCCCAAGTGAATAAACGGCATGTAAAGAGCTAGTGTTTACCTGTTTTATACCCCATAATTTTAACAAGTGTGGGCTCAAATATTTATTGCACTGTTGGCCTATTTTTGCTTATGATATGAATCTATAATATGCATTTTGAAACTATCAAGGACCCTTTTCCCCCATACCTCTTCAACAGAATTTTACCTGTGTTACATAGTTGATTCTAAAAAAAACATTTCATAAAAAATATTCTAAAAACAAAAACTTTTCCTTTTGTGAGACACATGTTCGGGTAAAACACACGCTTGTTTACCCACATTTGTTTATGGTGTAAATCAAGGATTTTCTTTTGTTCCTCTTTCCTTTTCCTTTGTTTGTATTCATAACTTTTTCGCAACAGCTCTCATTGGTTTTGTACACGTTTTCTAATCGAGGCCGTCCTTGATTTAGTTCCTGTCCTCGATTCACCCATGATGATGCGTGTGTGAGTCCTGGATTTACACCATAAACAAATGCACTATTTCATTGGCCAATATATTTGGTACTCTATGGTATTACACACAATCATTTAGGAAGGGAAGAAAGGGGGCGGGGTCCAGGGGCAGGGGTAGCTTGTTGCTAGGTACAGTCACATGATGGACACTGGGGTGCTTTTCATGCTTTGACACAGGAGTGACAGTTCAGCACCAAGGCATGAAAATACTGAGATATCCGAGGGAAAAAGAGAGAACAGTTCCTATTTTTGTCTTTACAAAATTCATAACTTGTCATGGTTATTTTGCAAATACCCAGGACAAGCTTCCTACGGAACTGCCAAAACCAACCTGACGATATCTGATCAAAAGGACGCTCTGTCAACATGCTCAAATTTCAATGACCCCGAGGGTAAAATTGTGTAATGTTACCCTTCAGGAAATCTAAAAATGGCAGCGACAGACACGGATACAACCGATAACAGGAAATGCAATACGATTAGGAAATGTATGTGTACACCTGTAAATGTTTTTTTTCCCCATCACCTTCATCATCTTCCTGTACTGTGCAGAAACCTCCTCTGGAGTATACTTGCACATTTACTAAGAAAGGTACAAATGTTTATTTTATTTGTTTGTTCCTGAATACATAGAACCAACAGATAAGACCATAGGAATGGAACATGCTGAAATTACAATTTTGTTGGTAAATACAACCATTTTACCCGAGCAATCACAAACATAACTGAGCATTAAAACTCTGGAATTGAAGTAATGGGTGAATCCTGCCCGTTTTGGTCAAGTGATATTGGCGCCTTTCTAACCTAAGATTTGTGAGAATAGTCAGAAACTTTTGGTCTGCGATCCAGATTCGAAATAGGTAATAGGTAATTAGGCCTCACCTCATCTGGGTCTCCATAGACGTAGATATAATCTCCAGCAGTCAGTGGAAGTTCTGCATCGGGGTTGTCGTTGGGGGAGTCACGGTAGGGGTCATAGTTATATCTAAGAGCATCAGAGGTTAGAAATGGAGAGTTAGAAATTGCACCTATTGTAATTTCATCTTTTGGAACGATCATGATCTACTTAAAGCAACCTCAAAAATCTTCCATATGAACAGCAAGACACAGTGAACCAGCTCAAAGTTACTGAAAATTTGTGAGTTTTGCTGATATAGATAGGTCATTTCTTTGTGTGGTCATTTAACCAAAATATCTGGTATTTACCCATTTTTTACTCTAAAATGTAATAGCCAAAATCTGATTCTCATATATTTCTCTCCATTTTGCTCAATTAATTGGATAAAAACAGGTGTGGTGTCATTCACGTTTAAAGGATGATTATTTTCAATTACTAGTTAAAATTCTTAACACCCCAGCATTATTCTAATCTAATGTCAATTTGGCAGACTAACCATGCTAACTGGCACCTAGAAAAAGCACAAACAACAAACTTATGTCAAGTTGTCAATCTATACACTGACATCTGACCAAACATTCTGTCATTTGTTTGCTGTTCACACAGTAATTTACAGTCAAATTCTCTCCTTTTTTTCCTTTTTTTTTACTGAAGCTTTTCCCTTCTGTTAATCCAGTGTGTCAGGCTGCTCTTCAATAAAAAAAGTCTCATCAGAATTTGTGGCTGAGAATTTGCACTGCTTTTAAACCAGCATGTCAGTACGCTTGTCAGTCAATTTGTGAAAAAAAAGTCTTTTTAGGATTTTTTTTACTGAACTTTTTTTCCTGTTTAAATCCAGTGTGTTCATGCTTGAAAGTCAACATTGGTAACTGTTTTCTTTAGGAAAATCCTTGTCACATTTTTTTGTGACTGAAACTGCTTTATATCCCGCATCAGTACACTCATCAGTCAATTTCTGAGGAAAAATATCTTGTCTTGTCGTATGTTTGACAATCCACAGTCATGATTTTTTTTTACTGCTTTAATCCAGGCAGGCTTTTCACCACTTTAATCCAGCGTGTCAGTACGCTGGTCAGTCAATTTGTGGGGGAAAAAAATTCTCATCAGATTCTTTTACTGAGGTTTCACTCAGCTTTTAATCCAGTATTTCAGTACCTGGCAATAAAGACTGCCAGCTTGCTGATAGGGCCCATGGTGGTGATGGATGAGGCTTGGTTCAGGCGATTCAAGATGGCTGCATCGATGCGGTCACTAAGGTCCTCCATCAGGTCCTCCGCATCACTCGCATCCAGCTGTAAAAAGTCAGAGGTCAAAATGTGAATACACATAATCATCAGCATCTTGAGGCGAATTTCATGGCACTGCTAGGTACACAGTTTTCTGCTAACAAAGACTTGTTAATTTCACGCTATTAATACAACAAAAGGCACACTACCAACATACATTGTATTTGTAGCTTAATTAGGCAACAGGTCACCAGAATTCAAGGGAATTACCCTACAGAGTTTCAACAGATGTTTTCTTTGATGTCTCATTCAAAAGTGAATCACTTCTGCACTGCTACAAAAATAGCAATAAGAAAAACAATCAAAACGTTTGGCAGTGAAACTCGAAAAAAAAAAAACCACAGCACTGGAATCCTATTAAATTTATTAAGCAAATTCTTCCGTCAAACTAGCATGAACTTCGTTCTGCTCACAGCTTACTGACCCCAAATGGATGACAACTCTTGAGTAAGATGAACAACACCAAGGGCGGATCCAGGGGGGGGGGGCCAAAGGGGGCCATGGCCCCCCCCCCCCCCACAAAACGAAACCAATTTTTTTTTTTTTTAATGTGACATCGCAATAAAGGCAGGCAATGAGTACACCACCATCTTTTCCTCAAAATAAATTGGTTAAAGTGGTCAGAAATTGCCTCAGATCGCACCACAGAGCATCTAGAATCCAAAAAATTTGTTTTGGCCCCCCCAAAATTGTGTTCTGGATCCGCCCTTGAACAACACCACAGCAATCTTTAAATAAAATTCAATTCAATGATTTTTTCACGGCTTTCATATGCTGTTTTGGCATGTTATGACCCTTTTCACATTACATTGGCCCACAATCACCATCACACAGAAAATAAAGGTCCCTGCAGTATGTAGCTGTTCATTTTTAACTTGCATGTAAATGTCACCAGACACTCATAAGGAATCCTACCATGTTCCAAAGATTTCATGGTACCGATACTACAAAGCTCTTAACAACATAGAGATCTGCATATATGTTTAATAAATGATAGCCAAATATAACTTTCCATGACTTTTTTCCTTGGAATATCAACTCTCCATGAATGCTAGTAAAAAAAAAAATTCCATGACTTTTCCCATGAATTTCCATGATAGCTTCTCATTCCAGGATTTTTTTCATGACTGTGGGAACCCTGCATGAACTCAGCAGCACTATGAAAATTAACCACAGGCCCTAAGCTTTGCCACAGTATTCTATGAGACAGTTCCTGATAAACACTACTTGAATCATCTTTTAATCCCTTCATGATCGAGTAATAAAAACTTGTTTCTGATGAGTTTCACATACACACCTGTCCATTCTCAATTCCCCTGGAGTGGTCGCTCTTCCGGCTGTTTGTGTCGCCAGGGGCAGGGTAGGCTGCCCTCTTAGCTGGCTGCCTGTTATTCTCATCCCTGCCCATCATCCCACCTGTGTAAAACAAAGGAACCGATCAACAAAAGAGATAAATAAAAGGTAAACAGGGAGGGAACCTGTAAACAAACTGAGCATGAGTGGAAATTTGAGAACATCTTGAGAATATAATCTGTTCTACGAAAGGGAAAACACCTTATTTTGCGAGCATTACATATCCATCTGCAAACCACAAACCTGTATCAGCATTTATTTCAAATCATAGTTACAATACCGGTATACAATTTATTTAATCTGATCATATTTGGGGTTTTTTTGGGGGGAGGACTTATTTTTTCTTTAGATTGATATCTTTTTCAACCTTTTTAATCAAAATCATATATATGTACTCTACGTTAATGTAAGTGACATGCTAGGTTCTATCTGCTTGAATAACAAAAAAGTGATGAAATATTACAACATTGATGAAATGGTAAAAGCTACTGAATACATTTCAAATAAAAAGTACATTTCACAAGTGCAGACCAAGTAAACATGAAGCTGCAATTCCGGTGGTTTTTCTGTCCTACATGTATGTACGTGACTGTATAATTGGTTTCTTCATGTTTGGGTCTGTATATAAACATGACTTGGTCTGAATATGTAAACAAAACAGAATGGACTGAAACACTTACAAGCTTATATACAGGCATGCAACTGGGAATTTAGAAAAAAATGAGGAAACTCCAAACCACACAAGACTTTGTACAGTACTTTTCAATTTGTAATAGCTTCATGAGAAGTAAAAAATGAGGATATCAGCGGACCTGAGGAAAACTTGCATGCCTGCATATATAGACAGGCAGCTTACAAATCAATCAAAGGGAAAAAGTGCTGTATTAGTGAAATTGATATTAGTTAACAATTCAAATCCTTCCCTGAAATACCAAAAAATATAAAAAACAAAACAAGACACAAGTCACGTTTCAATACAGTTGAATCATTTCCCCTCCACAGACAAAAATCAAAATAGAATTTATTTTTCCATTGCAGAATTACCCTCGGTAAAAGTCAAGAGTAGGAAAGGAGTTGTTCGGTCTCCGGCAAAAGTCGGCAGAAATGGAGTCAAGGGTTCTTCAACTGCGCGGGATGGCATTAGGATTTAATGGACATGACTCGGGACATTTTTGGGGAAATGTCATGTCGCAATCCAAGAAAGAGAAAAAGAAGAAAAAGAAGAAAAAAAACTAGAGTGTCTGGAGAAAATTTATCTCCATCATAATGGTTTGACTCAGTGTTGGGTTATGTTATACTACACTTCGATACGAAACTGAAATGGGAATAACAAAAAAAATAATTGAGAATGCAATATAAACAGAAAGTTGGCTGCATTTCATTTTTCAACATATTAGTTTAAGCAATGGAAAGTGTGAAGAGTTTGGTTTGAGGAACTTGACAGTTGATTTTTCGATGTCGAAACAACACTCAGACTAGCTTCCTCAAAGCCTCTAGACGGTGGGGGATTGCCCAAATATTTACTCAAGGCAGTAATATCCTGAATCAAAGACTTCAAATTTTGGTTGAAATTTAACATTACATTTTCTAAATCAAACACAATGGGAAAAAAGGGGACAATTAGGGCCCATGGATCTGTGTATTGGGCTGCATATCTCAATTGGTACACATGTACATGTAGATCTGTTATAATCAGTAATATTCTTAATTAAGTTTATGCATACATTGTAATTGAACTCACATAACTTTTTGCACTATTCATAAAAGTCTACAAATCAGCATGTGGAGAGAATAGGGCTGTGCCAAATAATAAAGAAAATGTGCGAATATTCGATCATCAAGCGAATATGCGAAAAAGATCTTTCAATTCAATTGCTCAAAACATGTGTGTGGTCTTGAGGACATGATGACAAAGTCCACAATGTAATTTTAATTGTTAAAGTTGCGTGGTTTCATTGTTTGTCAAATATGCTACCCTTTTGTTTAAAACTGCACTCTTCAGCTAGTTCGTGCGATTACAATGTCGGTAGAAGGTCACTAGTGTTATGGGAAAGGAACTCAGAGAGTTCAGTTGTACTTTCAGAACTGTAAATAGTTTCCAAAAGAAAATAAAAACTCTGTGAGTCAGTTCTGAAAACGTAAGGACTTAAACTGTATCAAGTTACCTCAACGGGAAACAAACCACACTCTGAATCAGAACTGAATTGAACAAGGAGACCAAAAAATGTAAGGCTTGATAGCTCATTTGGTAAGCGACCAAGAATTAATTTAATGGTTCTTTAGATTGCTGGATTTAATCCAAGTTCATTTCCTTGTCTATTAAATATTGATTCTAACTTTTCCACAGTGATTCATATTTTCCAAATATGGGTTCAAAATTGCAGATAAACATACAAAGGCCAGAAACGTTAGGAAAACAATACTGAAAAAGAAACTGGAGGGATGACAATCTGCCTATTTACATTGGTCGAGGAAGAGTCAACATTCACTTTGGTTTTGTGAGCTGGTGGTGTCCCAACTCACACTGCACTATCTGTTATTTCATTCAACATATCTGTTTAAAACAAACATCAGGAAATTGCAAAACTGAAACAGAAGTTCACTGGGCGAAAGGGAAAGCAATTCGTCAAAAAAAAAAATTAAAATCATTAGTTGCAGATTGGCACGAGGAAAGAACCTTTTCAGCAATATCCAAGAATAACTTCACTGATTAAAAAGTAATGTTTTTTTTTTTAACTGTTTGTCCTTTGGTATTGAAATTCCACTGATCAAAGACATGAAGTTTGTTCATTGTCATTGAAATTGTTCATTGTCATTTTCAGCTGAGAAAATACAATTATCCATTACATTTTTCTGGCCAAGTACAAGTATTGGGCAACAACAAAGATTTGTCATGTGTTCTAAAAATAAAATTGATTTATAATGAAAATCTCGATGAAAAAAAAGAGAGAAAAGGGGAAAAAAAGTGCGAGAGCACAATAAGCTCTGGCCGGCTTGCATAGAAATTTTGCATGAAATGATTGTGCACATGTAAGCCCAGCCACCGTCCCACGCAAAAATCATGCGCTGAAAATTGACCAAAAATAATCCCCCTAGTTTCCCATGAAATATAGCGTGCTATATAGCGCCGTATATACCACATGACAATTACTGCACATATCTTGCCTCCATTTACAAAGTATTTTATTTCTTTTGTTTGTTTGTTTTTTAAAGTAAAATTTGGTAGTTATATTTTTTGGGAAACTTAAAGGGCTCGTTTTGGTCAATTTTCCAGGGACAGACACTTGCAAAACAGACGTGCATGCTCATCGATCGAGAAAAAGCCTGTTTTCTGATAACTTTCGTTAACCCTAACCCCCTAGGCCCTTGTTGCTTACAACCATCCTCAATCCTCCAAAATCCTCCAAAATTTTGCAACTCCGCCTAAATTTTTCAAAATTGTCAGACAGTCCTGCCTCAAATTCGGCATTCATCCTCAATCCTCCAAAATCCTCCTCATCCCAAAACTTTGCACTCATGTTTAAATGAAGGATAACCAACGCCAAATCCTTCAAAATCATCAGACAGTCCTGCCTCAAAATGCATTCATCCTCAACCCTCCAAAATCCTCATGTGCTTCAATCACCATTCATCCTCAATCCTCCAGAATCCTCATTTGATTCAATCACCATTCATCCTCAATCCTCTAGAATCCTCCAAAACCGCCAGGAGGATTTTGGAGGAGTGAGGTGGGTTAGGGTTAAGAGTGCATTTACTAACATCAAATAATTTTGGTCAATTTTCGGGGACAGATAGACAGACAGACAAACTGAATGATCGACTGACCACCAAGTGACAAGTAGAAGCTCCTGCAAGGGCTTAAAAAGTGACATTTAACAATGTGCAGCCTGGGATACAAACATGTTACCCGATCTTTTGACTTGTAAAACCCGGCATACCATTACATGTATAGTAATCACCCAAATGCACGGATTCGCAAACACAAGCTACATGTACATGTATGTCAGGTTTTTTTTCTGTTGAGAGAGATGCTTGCACGGGATTATTCATGAGAGAAAGGGGTCGGTTTACCCTCAGTTTTCTCTAGATGGTGGGGGCAAGGGTTGAATTGGCCTGGCCGAATGCCCGGCACGCAAAATCAATCTCCGGTCTGGAGGATAAGGTTTAGAGACATAACAACAGGAGAAGATGGAGCAGAAGAACTGCAGGGTTGAGTAAGGCCTCCTTCAGCAGGAGGACGAGAATACAATGTATGCATGTGCTAATTGGATATATCTAAAAATCCTTGCAATCACCAAACCCTTTATCTGATCTGGCACTGGCAGCTGTCAGCAAATTTTACAAACCCGCAAGCCTCCAACTGCCTTAAAAAACGCACCTTAACTTTGTACTGCACAAGTGCTTTCCCAGGTGAATGGCCACCGCATCAAACTAAAGTAAAAAGGACAAAGGTAAAAATCCCAAACTGTCTTATCCTTGGCTTTTCCTTAGCTGTTCGTTCAACTGTTCAGCAATGGACAGCTGAGCGACAGGAGTGAAGTACTGTAAAACTCCAAGTGGGGGGAGGGAAGCAGTTAGAAATTAACTAGAAGACATTTTGTTTGACAAGCACTGTTTGGATTTGACTTGAGCTTTGGGCATTACTTAAGGGTTCAGGGGTCAAATTTAAAATGTAAAATTTTCACAGTAATGCAAGACGACACCAAAATATTTGGGGTTTTTGTGAGCTCAAACACTTTATTTAAATCTAGTACTTCCGATGTTAACAAGATCTACTGCCTCTGCAGAAGATCTTGCTAAGATTGGAACGTCAGGCCGCCTTAATTTTTTGATTTGGATATTACAGTTCAATCAAGTCAGAGAGCAGTTTGCAACATGATCAGGGATGGCGCCCAGGTTACATTCATGTGTGTTTCCAAGCGGAATAACCCAGAGGCATTCCTCACAAATCATACACAAGTCATTGGCTACAAAAATAAATTTCACTCAGGAGAATCAAGTTACGAAATTACAATCAACAACACTGACCCGACTTTCAATAACTCTTTCTTCAACTGCAGTATCTCTGGACAGCCTGAAAAAAATTGCTCAATTGGTCCTCTGATCATCATCCCAGAGACTACAACATCTCTGCAAAATTCTGAACCAGAGGCATCTACAGAAACATCTCCAACAGCTTCTACAGAATTACATGTACCGATCATAGTGGTTATTGTGGCGGCCTCTCTTAATATGCTTCTAGTCATCATTGTAATTGTGGTTTGCTGTGTTGCTTGTAAAAGACAGCACAACAATGGGAAAAGGCCATCGAAGGGGGAGACTGAAGTTGACTCATCTCCCGGAAAAGGTAGAGCCGACTGTCGTGCGTTGGCCATGCCAAGTATAAAACCACACCTGTCGAGGCACGAAAATGACGGCACGCAACTCTATGAAGATATCAACAAATGTGTTCCACCCGCGCTACCCAGCAGAATGCCAATCCTGGTGCATGATGACGGCCCTTCTTGTTCCAGGGAGAGGAAGAGCAAGAAGGAGAAGCCACACAGGGAGGCGATGTCGGGAAAGACAAGAGGTGAGCTCCCTTTGTTCTCATCACAAAAATGGTTGGCCATTAATTCATTTGAATGATTTTATGCATCCTTGTAAATGCACCTTTGTGTCCCATTTGACCTTATTTCAATCTTCATTTGCCAATCTTTAAGAGCATTTTCATGCCTTTTGGTTGTTATGCCGATGTGAAGTTGCATATTCATGGACAAAAAAATGTGATGTTATTTCAGGCAGAAATGTCAATGCTACAGCAATTTCAGCACTAAAATTTGCCAGAATTTTGGATGTTTGCTGTTGTAAATTTTCATTTGTTTGGTGATTAGTTGTTGTTTCAGTACATGACAGTACACCAATGAGCACAGTTTTCTCACAAATGTTTTCAATGAGCAAACTTTGGGTTAACAGTTTGAACATAAAACCCCTAAACTGAACAGTGTCTTCCTCACATGGCATCACAGCATCAATTGTCAGGAAAAGCATGGAATATCTTTAAATGTTTAAAGAAGTGCAATATAAGATTGACCAAAAAAAGGATGTGATACATTTAGGAGGAGTAGAAAGTTGCACAAAATATGATCCAAAGTAAAATTCACGTCATAGTCCCTTGAAAGAGATTTGAAAGTGCATTAAATTTGGTTGCAAAAAGCCTATACCACACTTAGTATGCAACGCAGATAAAAAAAGTTTACAACAAAATTAGATACAGGGTTATAAGAGCAACATGTATATGCAACGGGAAATTCTATTGACTCCAGTAACTAAAGACAATGAAGTTGGTTTACACACTGCAAGACCATGGCTGACACAGTTCCCACAAGAACCATTTTTGACCTATTACTTCTAAAAGAAGAAAACCATTACAACAATGGCCCATCCCCAAGTGCGGTGCCAATCTCCTGTTTGATCCATTTTGCGTGTCCTGTATCAAGTTATGCCTGTCCAATGTGCCATCTAATGTACATTTCATAATACCCCAATTACCCCACCTTTATTGCTGCCTTAATTTTCCAGCTGAAGAGAAGGTGTCTGATAGCAGCCCGGCTTACATGTATCACATTGTCAATCCTGACACACTCACACAGAGTGAAGACGAGGGCAGAGATGAGGACAAGCCAACGGCAAAACCTTTTGCCAATCTCAACCTCAATGAAGCATCAATGAGAGGTCCGGATGGAGACCAACCTTATGAAGTCCCACAAGCTAAAAGGCCAGAGGGACTCTCACCAAAGACCCCTGCCTCAAGTAATGATGAGGAGAGCTCTTCCAGTTCCAGTGAGGAGAATAGACACAAAAGTTCCACTACCAACCATTCCCATTCCAGTAGGAGTAGGAAACAGGCAAACTCCAACAATTCAACCCGAAACAGCCAGAGCAGTCAGAAATCCCAAACAGGAGACTCAAGGGAAGAGCAGCCTTACGAAGTGCCACGCCTACTTTCTCCTGAGTCACCTTTGACCTCTGCTGAGAAAAAGGTGCATGACGTCACTAATGCGCAACAGACACAATCAGATGCATCTAGCGCAGTGGGTGACTACTTCCCACTCCAATTCACTCCTTAAAAAGCCGAAAAAGGTGAGTTCTATTTTTCACCGTCTCATTCCTCTCTAGCAAATGTTTGATCCCTTCTACAACAATTTATTGTTAAATTATTTTTTGCAAAAATTTCTCATAAGAAATGTTATAATGTACGAGGGGTGATTGATAAGTTCGTGGCCTATTAAAAGTACAAGGAGATGAGGTTTGACTGATATTGTGTGCAGTTCAACTTGTTGAAGGATTACACAGAAAGTTTGAACTTATTTATCTTTTCTTGTTTTTCTGTTACAGATAGTTGGTCCAGAAGCTCCTTGGACCTGATTGGAAACGGACTCGGTACAACCTTTCAAGAAAAAATGTTGCTATTCTTGAGTTTCATTCAATTTTTTAGTTCAATCGAATTTTTTTCATTTTTTCCATTTTCCATGTTTTTCAGTTATTGTATTATGTGAAAGTTTAGCTGTTATGTCATTGTTATACCCCTAAAACTAAGATTTCTAAAAGGCCCTAAAAGGAAAAATTTGTCGGTTTTTTTGGTCTGATGAAATTGGCGAAATAAAAGTTTATATTACTATACATCTGTAAATGTATCTGAAATTGCCATATGTTCATTTGAAAACTAAAATGACTTCAAATTTGATTGTTACATCAAATTTACTAATTTTATGGGGTTGGTTAGAGGGTATTTGTAAACTATTCTGTAATATAGTGTTAATAATCGTTGGATTTGAACAGCGCCCCCATTGAAAGTATGGTACGAGTATGGTAAAGTATGGTGCGCCCCTCGGGTGTTAAAAACGTCACATCCCACATCACAGCAGTCAACAGTTGTTAAATGTTTGGTCAGTTGAAAATTAAGAATTTACTCGATGGGATGAATATTTTGCCTTGTAGTGTACATGTTAGAAACGCAAGAAAGTCATGGTAATTCATGTATACAGGTGTAGTTTTAACGTCACTATATAATGCACTTAAAATATTTGTCATATGTCTGCAGTCATATGACATATTGCTCATTAGAATTGACAATATTTGTCATGTCTTATATGCTCTTTTAATATTATGATGTTATTATTACAATGTATAGGTCAACCGCAATTCGGTCTTGCGCCACCAAAGGTGGATATTATATATTGTTATACCGGTACATGTACCTCTGTCTTGAATACTGTATTTTCATTGGCCAATATAGAACAATCACGTGTTAAGTTTATAACAAGTCATGGCACACTCTCTGTGGGATATCACATGTGTGATATCCCACAGGGAGTGTGCTATGACTTTGTACGTACGGTACTTACGGTGTGAAACACTTGTATCATTGGTACCCATGCTATTTTCACCATGCTTTTTAGTTCACGCATGAGTGGGAGCAGCGAACTAGCAAACGATCAGCTGTTTCGAGCATGCGACATGCATGTGAGTTGACGTTCGATTGTCATGATTGTTGTTTACTGCTGTTTGTTTTCGTGATGTTTACATCAAAATCCAAAGAATCTAAGACAGAGGTATAACAAAACAATTGTTGACTGCTGTGATGTGGGATATTTGACGTTTTGAACACCCTTGGGGTGCATATTTCACCTCGGGTGCTATGCGCCCCTCGGGTGTTCAACGCATCATATCAGTCAACAATTGTTAATTATCTTCAAGCAAACTTGAATCCTCAGTCCTTATTGGTCGATCCATGGCAACAACAGTGTGATACTATACCTAATATCACGATAGGTTGATATCGCACTCTGCGTATTACGCTATTCCAAAATGCGTGAGCTATTCCTTCTGCATGCATGTATATAGGAAAACCGCCTTAAAGTTTGTGTACTGCACGTGTGTTTCATATTTTGAAGGCAAATTTGTTAGATCCCACTCACGTTCACGAAACAGGCAAAATAGTACTAATAGATCAAACTTATATAGCGTAAAATATGACAGAAATAAATCTCGATGCGCTTTACAATTTGAGATGAAAAGCAGACCAAAAAAGTGACAAATTTACTATGTGTGGTCATAAGCCTGGTGAAATAAATGATTTTTAGGGTAGATATGAACCTCATGGTATGTGGGACACTGATGTACTGCAATACTCCGTGTTCCATTCGTGCTGGTGGGATAACAAATAAATAAACCATTATTGATATTAATTGACATATTGTCCACTACAGTGTGCCACAATAAACATTGCGTACGTCATGTACATGTACATTTTTGTGTATGCATGAAGGGTCAAACAATTTGTTGATTTTTTTGTTTGGACTCATTTTATTGATTTTGAATGTGTCAGATAAAGCATTGCTTTCTCTTTCACCCAGTGAACTTATGTGTCAGTTTTGCATGTACAACTATTGTCAAAATGTCACAAAATGCTCCGAATTGTCCAGAATGACCTAATTAGTACACTTGCACCTGCCAACAAAAAGAAGTTGATAAAAGTCAACTTCTCTTTAAAAAGGCTGAGATTTACGTCTTGGTGAGTCAATTCAGATGAATGCATAACATGTATCTCTACAGGTCTCCTGAATTGCAGATTACAATCAAAGTTGAGTGGAAATGGATTGGGAAGCAATTTGACCATCCAGCGAGAATTACGCTTTGCATATCAAGAAAGAATGACAACTTCTCATCCAAGAGATATCCAGTTAATCACCCAACAAATTGAACTCAATTCCAGCATCATCTGCATCTTATGATAAATACACTGTATTTCCCTGTACTGCCTCAAACTGCGTTGCCTGTGACACCCCAAAACTGCCCATGGTCATGGGCGTTGCAAGGCCCCCCCCCCCCCCCTTGTGGCGCCCATGACCATAGGCAGTTTTGGGGTGTCACAGGCAACGGAGTTTGGGGCAGTACAGGGAAATACAGTGCATCATAAGATGCAGTTGATGCTGGAATTGAGTTCAATTTGTTGGGTGATTAACTGGATATCTCTTGGATGAGAAGTTGTCATTCTTTCTTGATATACAAAGCGTAATTCTCGCTGGATGGTCAAATTGCTTCCCAATCCATTTCCACTCAACTTTGATTGTAATCTGCAATTCATCTTTAATTCAAAGGAAAGAAAAAGAGTAGCGAAGTCATATTGATGTTAACTGAATGGGTGGGGGGGGGGGGGGGGGCCTAATGTCCATGCCCACCCTCGAAAAATGATAAATCAAGAATATGCTGGAAAAGAACAAGTATTTCGGGGGGAAAATGTGCTTTGCCCCCCTCTAGAAAAGATCCTGGCGACACCCATGCCCATGGTTTTATTGTCTCAACAGCGAATAAACACAATTATTCATGATAATATTTAATAAATACAATATAATACAATGTATTGCGTGTGCTAATTTAGTATTGCAATCAAAATTCTTCATCTGATCTGGCACTGGCAGCCATCAGCAAATTTTAAAAACAACTCGCAAGCCTCCAACTGTCTAAAAAAACGCACCCTAACTTCTTACTACACAAGTGCTTTCGCAGGTGAATGGCCAACGCATCAAACTTAAGTAAAAAGGACAGGTTTGAAGTGCTCGCTTGATGGTAAACACTTGGGCTGAGTTGAGATTCCCAAACTGTCTTACCCTTGGCTTTTTCCTAGCTGTTCGTTCACCTGTTCAGCAATGGACAGCTGAGCGACAGGAGTGAAGTACTGTAGAAGTCCGAGTGGGGGGAGGGAAACAGTTATAAATGAACTAGAGGACATTTTGTTTGACAAGCACTGTTTGGATTTGACTTGAGCTTTGGGCATAGACCATTATTATGCAGCGGCCATCTTGATTTTTTTCCCATTCAAATCAACGTAAACAAAGTAATCATTCAGTATTAATATTGGATACAGGGAACATGACTGAAATGGTGGCAACATGACAAAGGCTATTACCTAAGGGTTCAGGAGTCAAATTCAAAATGTAAAATTTTCACAGTTATGCAAAGAGACACAAACCTATATGTTTTTATGTGATCTCTATCAATTTATTTAAATCAAGTATTTCAATCTTAACAAGATCTACTGCCTCTGAAGATGATCTTGTTAAGATTGGAATGTCAGGCCACCTTATTTCAGTTCAATCAAGTCAGAAAGCAGTTTGCAACATACTTCAACTTGAAGTCAAATTCTTTTTGCATTCACATTGGTGTATTCGTGTGCATTATGAACCAGCTTACTCTATGGGCTCCATGCGCCAACAAAAAAGGGCGCATTTTTACCTCTTTTGAGAACTCCGTGAATGGTACACACAGCGTGCGCATACTGTACTGTACTGGTTTCCGCGCAAAGTACGCACAACTTCCTGAATGTGCAAAAGCTTAGAATATTAGCCACTGCATCTTTGCGTGAGCGTCAGGCATCATCGGCAGCACGCGAATATACGTTCAAATTCAACTTGCGATGGTCTCCGAGACTAATCCCTGTCTCGTATAACTTTGGATACATTCGAAATACGCAGTGGATTGATCAGGAACCAGTCTAGGTCCCCTCCCAACTCTTCGTTGATGGGGTACTTGTGCACATAGCCCATAGTTTGAAAAGTTCCATCCTATTACATTTCTCAAAAATCCTGGGACCATTTTATATTTATTTTATTGTGAATTCTTTTTGTTTTTACAAAGGAATCAAAATGATATCCAACATAGTTTTACATAAATGTATTATGGTATGAAATCAATATGTTTGTATTGTTTTATAGGGGTGGATCCAGGAAGTTTTCAGGGGGGACTGGCCCGTCAGATTTTTTGTAATGTCCGATTGTTGCGGGCAGGCGGACATATAGGTAATTATTATTACCATAATTGTTGTACATTTTTTCTTAGACCTGTATCAGAGCAGGGAGGGGGGGGGGGGGAGGGGTTCGACCCCCATACTCCCCACTGGATCCATGCCTGTTTTATGGGGTGCAATGTACTTTGCTGTGTAATTTTTATTTCATTCAAGAATGCACGAGGGGAAACTTAAAAAAAAAAAAACCCACAATCTTCATGTAATTGAAATTCCATGTGTTACTTTGCACTTATCCAAATAAACAGTGCCAGAACAAAATGAAAGTAATGATCACATCAACAAAACTTAATGTTATTCATAGTAACATCTGCTACGACGCATATTCTGCACTCTTCTTCACAGGGAACTTTAAACACTCTCATTACCGGTAATGATTCCTTTAAGTAAAACAAAAGAAGACAGATGATCTTTTTCAAGTTTTGTTTATACTTATAACTGCGCATGCATACATGTATGATAGTAATGCGACAAAAGTGTAAGTGATGTCATGCCATTTTTTGTTTGTTTATTCAGGGCATTTCCTTTTTAGTGCAGAGTGCACTGTTCGAGGAAATAGAGTGGACAAACAGTTAATATATCCTTTGCTTGCAACATTTATGAAACTGCACTATCATCTGACAAAGTTGGTGATGGACACGTACAAGTTGGTGTCGGAGGATTCTTCACGGTGCAGAGTTTTGACATGAATGTATACAAGATGGCATTTCTTCTGTGTCTGCTGTTCATCCTTCACTTTACTTCAG